AGTACCAGAAGCCTCCTGGGCTGAAGTCGGGGTCGAGATCCGGAGGGTGTGTCCAGTCAGTGAAATTCACGATGGCGTCGCTGTCTGCAGTGCCCAGGTCAGGAACGAAGTCGAGGACGAAGACGTTGTTCTTCAGCACTGCTTTCCCGATGTAGAGACCGCCTCTCCCGTGGTAAAGTTTGAACTCCTGGGTCGTGCTGTCGGCTTCCAGATGAATTCCTTTCGCCATCAACTGGCTAACGCTCAGTAAGTTGTAGCCGAGTCCTTCAGCGATGAGTACCTTAGACATGTGCAGTATGACATTTGTTTCTCTTGACTGAAGCTGTACCACTCCTTGTCTTCGTGTGCGCAGGTTTTGGTTGTTGGCAACCGTGATGATCACTTCCCGTTGGAGTCGATGTTCGCGTTGTACGAAACGCCCGGACGAGCACATGTGTTGCCCGCAGCAACTGTCCAAGAACCAGGTGTCTTGGCCAGACGGTTCACTTTGAGCGATGGCGGCGTACGTTGGATTCGGCTGGAGTAGCTCACGGCGAGGCGTTCTGTTGTCAAGCTCTTCTTCCGGTGAGTAGTGTGGTGGTGATTCGGTTGTACACGAATCGGTTATCTTCGTCATGCAGTTGATTATATTTCTTGCTCCTTGTGCAGGTTGTCCGGGTGATGTCGTTGAAGCTTGAATAGTGGTCGTCGCACTTGCTTGTGTTGAAGCCATTTGGGAGCTTGAAGGTCGAAGTTGTCGCTGTGGTGCCGTTGATTGCTGACGATTCGGGCAGTGTGTGCGCGGGTGCCCTGAAGTCTTGCAGATGTGGCAGAAGGGAGGTACTATCTTCGGTTGCTGCTGTCGGTTGTTATAATTGCTGTGTCGTCGTTGAGTGTGGAATGCGAACTCTGATACTGTCGTTTTCTTCCTGTGTCGTTCTTCCTGCAGGTCCATATCTTGCTGCTCGGCATGTATTTCGGCGCAGAGTGCAGCTTCAGAGATTCTTCCGTGGGCTCGAAGAATGGCTTTGGTGGCGCGCCACTGAGGACCAAGCCCACCAATGATGACTGTCACGAAGGCGTCTTCAGAGATTGACCCTCCGCATCGAAGCAGCTTGTCGCGCAGTTCGCGACATCGGCTGATATACGCCAGTCCTTTTTCTCCTGGTTTCATTTCGACTGTCGTCAACTGCGCCATTAACCTGCTCTGGTTTACACTGTCTGTTGCTTGATACAGGTTCTTCAGATGGCTGTACGCGAGCTCCGCCGAGTTGCCGAAGGTCCGGTAAGAGCGAATGTTCTGCTGCTGAGTTGGTGTCACGTTCCTCAATAGGATTGTATACGCCATCATTGATTGATACGTATACTGCTGCTTTTCATATTGTGTCCCGTTGGCTGGATACTGCAGGGACCCGTCGAAGAAGCCGAGTATCTGCGCGCCCTCCATCATCAGCTCGAATTCAAAGGACCAGGTAAAGAAGTCTTTGCCGTCGAAGGGTCTTGACGTTTGCAGTTTTAAGACGTGTGCAAACTGCGACTGAACTTGAAGTGCGTCCAGTGGTCTTTCTTGTCCAGGTGAAGGTTGCGGGTGGGGCACGAAGCTGATTGACCCGCGCTCGTACGGAGCAAAGGTAGGTTGCTGCTGCTGGTTTCCTCGCGCATATGACGACCCATCAAGACTCATGGGTGTCGCTCCGTTGTTGCTGTTGTGTGTTTGTGCAGGTCCCGACTGCTGGTGTTGTTCGTAGAAGGACATGAAGGAGAAAAATTTCTCCATCATGTTCTGGTCAAAGTCCGAAGGGTGGTTCATGGGGGTCTCGGTTGACGTTCCTCTTGGTCTTGTTGCCGTGCCTTCTTCTGTCTGCAGGCCAGAGGCTGGCGGTGGAGTAGGAGTAGTGCCCGAGGAGCCATTAGGGGAGCTCCTTTCCTTGTTTGTTGCCATGTCTTGTAATGATCTTGAAAAAAAAAGTAGAGTTTCCCTTGTCTGCTCTCATACCATGTTGGGCTGAGATAGCCCCTTAGGATCTTTGCAAGTGATAACTCTAGGTGAAGTAGTTGTAATAGCGGAAGCGTTTAGTGAAGAATTTGAACCGACCTTGCACTGGTGTGTGAGAGCAAAGTTGATTGAATTAAACAAGCAAATACAAGGATTTATATAAGAGTATAGGGAATAGATAGATAACTGTATTGCTGTTGCGGTTCGATATAGCGCGACTCGGGCAACTGCTCTGTAACGAGTCAGTTGTGTGTCCTTAACTGTCGCGCTGTAATTGTCGAGTCAAAGGTCAGCGACCTTTGACTTTCTCGTAACCTCCAGGCGGTTACCCTAACCTCCGAGGTTGACTCGATGCTTCGATTGGGACTGCTTCGCTTGGTACCTTGGATTTTGATACGACAGAAGCGCACTTAGGACTTATTGTTTCCAACAGTATGCGGCTCGCGTTTGTGCCAATATGACTGGTACTACTCTCACGATAGTGATTGTTGTGGGTCAGGTACGGGACACGCTTTTTTTGGGACTCCTTTGGGGCAGCAACATTTTGCAGGTGATACACGCACATGATGTAAATTAGACAGGCATACTCTTCATGATGCTTCTCTATACTCGTGATGAGAATCCTATAGGGTTGCATGAAGAACACCATACATTGAGTTGTCTGTTGCATTGCCACCAGCCAAGTTACATAAACTAGACTACTGTGGTTGTCTTCCCAGCAACTCCGCCAGTGCAGGCTACGCAAGCAGAAAAGCAAAACCAGCAGCCATGGTAATGGCGCTGACAATGTAGCCTGCCAAGGGAGAAGCATGATTCGAAGTGTAAATCAGAACTTCCGTTACATCATTGATGGCAAGGGAGGGCCGATGGAGATTCAGGAAACAAGAATCACAAAAACAACACAAGGGAGCATGAAATTATTATAAAAGCGTGCTATAACGGGATAGGTCACTGTACCAGGCTTGACCGGAGAAGCGGCTTTGCTGGCTTTGCTGTCGGGAGAAGCGGCTTTGCCGGACAGGTCAATGGGACTCCCAGTGTTGATTATAATGCCGTCCTTTTTAGTGGCGATGGTACCATTACTCCACAGAGTCATATCGTCTCCTACAGTCGCCGAACCATCGCTGTTCCGAACAAGCGGAAGCGCCTTTCCACTAAGATCCGTGAAGTTGAACATGTTGTACATTATCGTGCTGCCAAAAATGAGGCTGTCGTCTGGGCCCTTCGATACAATCACGCCGTTGGGACCAACGATAGTATCATTACTGTAGCTAGTATACTCTCCAAAGCTTTCAGACCCATCCTCGTTTTTGGTGAGGGGCACAACCGTTCCACTGGCATCCACAACCGTTTTGTTTCTGTACAATGTGTACCCGCCGACCGTCATGGTAGTCTCGTTGGATTCTGCGTCGGCACTGCTGATGAGCGTGCTCGTCACAACAGCAACAGCGAGGAGCAGCACAAAGACTTGACGGGGGCGTGGGAGGGCCATGGCGGTTCTAAGGCAGTAGTATAGAAGTATCAGCACGTAGTAGAACCAGGAAATACGTGTGATGTGATAGGAGTAGTTAGAGAGAATCGGCAGTAGTACTGACACAAATGCGGTGGTGACAAATATGTAGTAGGCAGTGGTGGTACACACACCTGTGCGTGTGACAAGTCCGTGTCATGCCTTCCGCCAATTACTTTCCACATTTTGGCTGCTATACAGCAATGATTTTGCTGACTCTGCATCGCAAGTCTCCTACACAAGCACCAAAAGGCCAATAATGCCGCACGGGTCAGCAAAGTAAGACTCTTTCCGGTTCCCACCAATAATACCAGGCAGGTATCGCATTGCAGGTGACCTCAGGCCGCGGAGTAGCCATTCCGCAGCGTGGGGAACGTGAACTACCTCCAGTGTGGGCCCACGCAGAAATAATTGCAGAATCACAATTATAATAGTAGGCAACGAAGCAATGTACCCGCCTCAGCAAGGGAAGGTAAAATTAGGTCATGCTGTGTCAGCATTCGGCACAATAATAGAGATTCCGGAGATGGAAGCCAAACGCTAGTTCACACAAACGCAAACCCATAATTTCATTGTTCCCCTCTGTCCACAGCTTCACGCTGTATTTGACTTTCAATGACTAAGCGTGATCTTGTCAGCATGACATTCTGCAGGGCGTGTGAAATTTCCCCAAGCACCTCCGCCATTCTGAAGATTCCTTTGCAGGAGGAGAAACGAACGCGTTGGCGGTGGGGCTCGTTGTGCTCGTGGAATTATCTCCAACTGGGATCAGTCAGGCTCTCTTGGAGAGGTTCTTCCGTGGCAGAGAGTATCGCGATAGCCAATCAGGAAAAGCCACCAACTGGGCGACCCTTGTCAGCAGATGGGGTTTCCTATGAACCAGTAAACCAATTCTGTGCTGGCATGGGACTGTGGGTTCGATATTTTCACCCTGTTCGGCGGACTGTGGGTCCAGCGAGGTCCAGGGTATAGAGCGTATTCCGACCCATCTCGATTGGTCGGATTAGATCGACCTTGGTCGACCAGAGCCGACCATCCCCGCGCAAAATAACAGAGAATTTTCTGTAGATGTTTTTACCACGTTCGAAGCACCTGCAACGTAATTGTTATACGACCTCCCTGCAGGCTGGGCGAGTTGTGGCGAGTGTCAAAAACTCGCCGAACCATCTGTTACAGAAAACCTTGCTAGACCTGCAATTCGTTAACAAATGCATCTGGTTGGTGATTGGTGGAGGAGACCCGAAGAGCGAACGGATTTGGAAGATTCTCGAATCTCGTGATGGTGCTCTCTAGACCTGGACGTTACTGCATAGCGAACCGCCGCACAAGTAGCGATTTGTTCTCATAGCGGCCCGTGGTGAAAGTAGCAGATTAGGTGAAGTTTTAGACTAAACATCACCCCTCGTTCCGCTCTCACGTGCTTTGCGATTCCTCGCCTTGCTCCTTCTTAGCCGCCATTCCTCCCGTCTTCCGCAATTCCCTGCTGCTCTCTTACCTGCTCTTTTCTCTGCTCCAATGCCAGGCCCTAACAAGCCAAGTTGCCGTTCTTCCCTCATTCTCATCCTCGTCCTCCTCTCCCTCTTACCATCTTTCAATGTGTCACCGACAATGTCGTGGACGGTAACGGTAACGTCGCCGGTAACGGCGACGGCGGCGAAAGTAATCGGAGCGGAGAGAGTTACTTACAAGTCCCCAGATCCGAACGAAGAGGAGAACTTAGAAGCTGCGTTAGGCAAGATTAAAGCCCCAGTTCAGGCCTTAACGGTGCCAACCCTCCGAAAGACTCTAGCGGAGCATTCTCGCGTCCTTGTAGTGTTCTTCAATAAGGAGGATAAGGCGTTTCCGTTGCTCGTGGATGACGTCTCCGGCGCGAAACCGGAGTTGACTAAGCTGGGTGTGACTGTAGCGATGGTGGATGGAGTCGCGGCGGGCGAAAGCGTTCGCGAAGAGTTCAAGGCGTATGGCGACATGCCGAATTTCGTGCTCGTCAGGGACGGAGTTTTCAGACCCATCAGAGGCTACCCCGAGAGGTGCGATTGTGGTGTTTAATTGTGTATAATCAAGAAAGGATACGTCAATAGAAGCATGGCGGTCATCGAAGCATTGGGGGTACTTTGTGATCATCATGTTCCTCCGCTCATCAACCTTGTGTCATCTCCTCCAATGTCGAGCCTATCCATTCATTGCCGGGGCACGTGATAACGCATTTGTTTTGATACGTCTCAAAGTAGACCCGTTATCACGTGGCTCCTCCGAAGACGAGGCTACCCATCCAATGCCGGGATATTCGAGTTGCATTTTGATCACGGATTTCTTATCATTTTTATCATCTAGTTTTGAGGCGCCTCAAAGGCTCTGATAGTTCGGATCATCAAGCTCCGCTGATGAAAAGCAATCTCAGAGGTGAGAGCAATCTCGGAGGTTAGAGCAATCTCGGAGGTTAGAGCAATCTCGGAGGTTAGAGCAATCTCGGAGGTTAGAGCAATCTCGGAGGTTAGAGCAATCTCGGAGGTTAGAGCAATCTCGGAGGTTAGAGCAATCTCGGAGGTGAGAGCAATCTCAGAGGTTGTTTTTTATTCAATTCAAAAATCTGCTGATCTGCGGGATTGTCGGCAGCTTGATGATCAGCAAGCTTCGCTGATCAGAAGCAATCTCGGAGGTGAGAGCAATCTCGGAGGTGAGAGCAATCTCGGAGGTGAGACGCCAGCTGACCCGCGGCGCTGTCGGCAGGAATCACTTTTGAGAGAATTTGCCAGGCGGGCCTGGCAGTGACTCACCTCCATCATCAAAGCAGCTCTACGACAGCCATCCAGCTGCTCACAGTTCTAGTCTTTTACCCTAACCGCACATCCCCTTCCCTCCCCTCCTCTCCCCTCCCCTCCCCAATCCCAGTGACGAGCTCATCACCTTTGTGAAGAAGCGCCTTGGGCTGTCGGTCACGTGCCCCTATTACTGACTGAGGCAGATATACAAGAGTTCATCCTGTGACTGACAGTTCTATCCTTTTCACCCAAACTGCTCCTCTCGTTTCCTCTCCTCTCCTCCCAGTGACGAGCTCATCACATTTGTGAAGAAGCTCCTGGGCCTATCAGTCGCTCACCTCTCTTATCAACGCCGCTGTGCGATCACCCAATCCCCTCTCTGCCGCTATCCCAGTGACGCATCACCTTTGTGAAGAAGCGCCTGGGCCTGTCAGTGACGCACCTCCATTATCAATGACTGACAGTTCTCCCTCCTCTCTCCCTTCCCCAATCCCAGTGACGAGCTCATCACTTTGTGAAGAAGCACCGTGGGCTCTTAGTGATGCACCTCTCCTACTGAGTCCTGACGGAAACAGATATCCCCGAGTTCTATCCCCTTCACCCAAACTGCTCCTCTCGTTTCCTCTCCTCTCCTCTCCTCTCCTCTCCTCTCCTCCCCTCCCCGATCCCAGTGACGAGCTCGTCACCTTTGTGAAGAAGCGCCTGGGCCTGTCAGTGACCCACCTCTCCGCCTCGGAAGCACACAAGGCACACTCCCTGCTCGCTGCTTCCAACGCCATCGCCCTCGCCCTCCTGCACTCCCTCAAGGTTGGTGTGTGCGCCTCGCCTCTCTGTCTGCCCAGTCTGTCTGTCAGTCACCCACCTCGCCACCTCAGTCGCACACAAGGCACACTCTCTGCTCGCTGCCCATCGCTGCTTCCAGCGCCATCGCCCTCGCCCTCCTGCACTCCCTCAAGGTTGGCTGGTGTGTGTCTCCTCTCGCTCTGCTCTTCTCTCTCTGCTCCTCGCTCTCTGCTCGTCTCTCTCGGCTGCTCTCTTTCTCTGCTCCTCTCTCTCTGCGCGTCTCTCTCAGCTGTTCTCTCTCTGCTCCTCTCTCTGTTCTCCTCTCTGCCCGTCGCTCTTCCTATCCGTCTGTCAACCGCTCTGTCAACCGCTCTGTCAACCGCTAACCTTTCTGTGCTGCACACTCACAACACGCACCCTCTGCTCTCTCCCTGCTCCTCTCTCTCCCTGCTCCTCTCTCTCTCTGCGCGTCTCTCCCTGCTCCTCTCTCTACTCACCTCTCTGTTCCTCTCTCTACTCACCTCTCTGCTCCTCTCTCTGCTCCTCTCTCTGTTCTCCTCTCTGCTCGTCGCTCTTCCTGTCCGTCTGTCAACCGCTCTGTCAACCGCTCTGTCAACCGCTCTGTCAACCGCTCTGTCAGCCGCTAACCTTTCTGTGCTGCACACTCACAACACGCACCCTCTGCTCTCTGCCCTCTCTACTCTCTCCAACGCCATTGTCCCTCCTTAATCCCCCACTTCCTCAAGGTATGTGTTCCTCTGTCTTTCTCAATTCCTTTTTGCTTCCACCAATTAATCGATCTATTAATCTCCTGTATGTACACAGTTTCTGTTCTTTCTCTATTCCACCCAAGTCCTTTCCAGGGCCCTGAGACAGAAGCTTTTGCGGCAGCTTCCCGCGACATTGTGAGCCAAACCAATACTGGATTCCTGTTCTTCCTTCATTTCTCAACCAAACCGATCACAGGGCCCTGAGGCAGAGGCTTTCGCAGAAGCTTCCCGCGACATTGACGATATCGAGTTTATCGCGACGACAGACGCTAACATTGCTGCAGAGTTCAGGATTGTGAGCAAGGAGCGGCCGACAGTGGCAGTTATTAAGAAGGAAGATGAGAAGTTCGTGGCTCATGGTGAGACGACAAGATTGGGAGGGGAGAGGGGGGGCGTGTTGTTGGCGGCATGGTCACAGCAGAATTCAGGATTGTGAGCAAGGAGCGGCCGACAGTGGCGGTTATTAAGAAGGAAGATGAGAAGTTCGTGGCTCATGGTGAGACGACAAGATTGGGAGGGGAGAGGGGGGGCGTGTTGTTGGCGGCATGGTCACAGCAGAATTCAGGATTGTGAGCAAGGAGCGGCCGACAGTGGCGGTTATTAAGAAGGAGGACGAGAAGTTTGTTGCTCATGGTGAGAGGGAGGGGTCTTGGTACCGACAGACAGACGGTCCCTCCACCAGCACTGCCATTGCTGCGCTTTGCTGACTTGCCGATGGTCTGGCCATTGCTGCGCTTGTAATGGAATGGCCAGCAAGCAGCCTCAGTCAACTTTTGAGGCGCCTCAAACCAGCAAGCAGCCTCAGTCAACCACACGCTGCTTCCTATCCCCCTATCCCCTTCTGTCTACCCTCTCTCTCCCTTCCCCTCCCCTCTCCCCCCCCCCCCCCCCCCCCCCCCCCCCGGGCTTCCCTTCCCCTTCCTGTATCTTGCAGACGGTCCCTTCACCAGCAGTGCCATTGCCGCCTTTGTAACGGCGAACAAGCTGCCTCTGGTTACCACCTATGACGAGGAGAGCCAGTACACGATCTTTAACAGTGACATAAAGAAACAAGTGAGTTTTTTTCCTTAGTAATTTTACTTCAAAACGATTAGCACCTTCTCTCTGGTTACCACTTATGACGAGGACAGCCAGTACACCATATTCATCAGTGATATCAAGAAGCAAGTGAGTTTTCTTATAGTGATGTTTGTAACGACCAACAATTTACCCTATGACGAGGACAGCCAGTACACCATATTCAACAGTAATATCAAGAAACAAGTGAGTTTCTAGTCTACCATGATTTTTGTAACAGTTAATAGCGTTTCTGGTTACCATCTCTGATGAGGACAGGACAGCCAGTACACCATCTTCAACAGTCGTATCAAGAAAGAAGTGGGTTCCTTATGTTGGTGAATGTAACGGCCAGTAACTATCTCTGGTTACCAGCGCCTATGATATGTTCAGCCAGTATGGTGCTGCTTCTAAGTTCTGAGTACGCCCAGAGACCTACCCGCAAATTTATCTCCACAGGCGACTTTTGAGTCGACTCAAATGTCACCACGCTACTGCTTCTAAGTTCTGAGTACGCTCAGAGACCTACGCCCATGTTGCTCAATAGTCACCTCATGCTCATCTCCCCCCCTCCCCACCCCCCGCCTTCCGCCCCACCATCTCTCTTCCCCCTCCCCCTCCCCCTCCCCCTCTCCCCTTTCCCCCCTTCCCCCCGCCCTTTCCCTCCTCCCACCATCCATTCACCAGGTGCTGTTCCTGGCAACGAATGAGACCTACCCGCAGCACCTGCCAGCCAGGCTGCCAGTTTTGAGAATTCTCAGAAGTGATTTCAATACGAATGGGACCTACCTGCAGCACCTGCCTGCCAGTGACTCTTGAATCAGCGCCGGTCAGTCACCTCGTATGCGCATGTCCCCTCTGCCCGTCTCACCCCCCACACCACCACCTTTGTTCAACCAGGTGCTGCTTCTGGCAACGAATGGGACCTACCCGCAGCACCTGCCAGTGGTGAAGGAGGCTGCCATGCGGGTGAAAGGACTGGTGAGCGATTGGGGGGTTGAGAAAGAGGGAAGGGGGGTCTGGTCTGGTACCAGGGGGGAGAGGGGGAGGGAGGGAAGGGGCGGGGATGATGGGGACTCCTCCTTAAAGGGAGGGAGGGTTGGAACAAAGGTGGCAGGTTAGATCCGCCAGGTGCTGTTCCTAGCCACGCCACTGACAGACCTACCCGCAGCACCTGCCAGTGGTGAAAGAGGCTGCCAGGCGGGTTAAAGGACTGGTGAGCGAAAGGGTGGAAAGGGGAGGGAGAGGGAGGTGGTGGGGAGGAGGTGGGGAGAGGGGGGGTTGGGGAATGGGAGAAGGAAAGGGGGAGGGGGGTTGGGGAATGGGAGAAGGGATGGGGAAGGGGATGATGGGGAGGGGATGATGGGGAGGGGATGATGGGGACATAGAACTGATTCTGACAGGGAGGGTTGGAAGTAGGGTGGCAGAAATGAATTCACCAGGTGTTGTTTCTAGCGACGAATGAGACCTACCCGCAGCACCTGCCAGTGGTGAAAGAGGGTGCAGGTCAGGTGAAAGGACTGGTGAGAAGTTGGTTGCTGTTTGGGACAGATGGGATGGGGAATCTTCACTCGAATAATTGAGGTCTCAAGAGGGCCTAACCTAACGGATGGAGTTCCCTTATTGTACTTGTCGCATCCGTTAGGGTGCGAATGGGTGGTTGCATCTTTCTTTGTCTTCCCCCTTGTTCTCCGCTGCGACCACCCATTCCCATTCACCGGGCTCTCTTTGTGTATATCAACAGCGACCTACCAGACTCAGAGCATGCTCTCGAGTACGTGATGTCTCAAGAGGGCCTAACGGATGGTGTTCCCTTATCGTAATTCTTGCACCCTCCTTTGTCTCCCCTCTTCTTCTCCCTCCCGGCCACCCATTCACCAGGCTCTCTTTGTGTATATCAACAGCGACCTACCAGACTCAGAGCATGCTCTCGAATAATTTGGCATTCCCTTGCCATACGTCCCTTGTTTGTCTTTCCCTCTTGATTCTTCCCTCACCACTCTCCCCATCCGCCAGGCCCTCTTTGTCTACATCAACAGCGACCTCCCGGAATCAGAACACGCTCTGGAGTACTTTGGCTTCAGGCACGGCGATACTGCGGTAAGCATGGGTTCGGTGCGGTGGTGTGGGTTCAAAGTGGCGAGCGTGGGCTTATTGTGGTGATTCTGGTCTTAATACAGTGAGCATGGGTTCAATGCGGTGATTGCAGTGCCGTTTCCAAGAACTTGCCTCTCCATCCCTCTGCTCTGCCCACTCCCGCTCCTCTATCATTCCCTCCTCACATCATGGGCGTGGTGTCCAATGAGACAGATAAGGTCAAGTTTGAGTTCAACGGGCACTGCGCTCCCTCTACCTACCTATGCTTCTTTCTGCCTCCCATCTACTTCTACCTACCTCTACTTCAGCTCAAGAGGCTCTTTGCTCTGCTTCTACCTACCTCTCCTTACCTCCTTCTGCCTCCCATTTCCCTTGGCCTGCCTGCCTCCCTCCTCACATCATGGGCGTGGTGTCCAATGAGACGGATAAGGTCAAGCTCAAGTGCCACATGCGCGCTCGCCTGCGCGCGCGCACACACACACACACACACACAAACCAACACACACACAGGCACACACAACACCAATCCATGAATTCTCCCCTCCCCCCGTTACTTTAGATCATGGGCATGGAGTCCAATGAGACGGATGAGGTCAAATTCAAGTTCAACGGGCAGATCACCACTGATGACATCGAGGTAAGATTTTTTTTAGAGTTCTCAAAAGTGAGCTTTTGAATAATGATAAATATAATTATGTTAATATATTAATAATGATGATGATGATGATGATGATGATGATGATGATGATGATGATGATGATGATGATGATGATGATGATGATGATGATGATGATGATGATGATGATGATGATGATGATGATGATGATGATAATGATGATGATAACATACGAGTTCAACAGAAGTTGGGCAAATAACATCGAGGGGAGAGAAAGATCCCAACTACAGCTGCTCCATTCTTGAGGAGTCTCAGAAGGCTTCAAACAAGACGTAAATGCCCTCCAAAGGGCAGGACACTACTGATGGTATTGTGGTGTGAGAGTGATTTGCTGGCACTAACTACGTGAAAGAAGTGAATCTAATTGACGTCTCAATTAAACATTCACTTCTTTCACGTGGATAAACAAGACGGCGGTGTCAAAGGCCCTCAAGAGGGCAGGTCACCACTGATGATATTGTGGTGTGAGAGTGATTTGTTAGCACTAATATCAGAGCCTGTATGCTTGTGCATAGAGGAATATCTTACCTCCTTGACTGTTCTACTTGACTGTTCTACTTGACTCGCTCTGCCTACCGTTGCTTACTTTTGCCTACTCCAGCATGCTTCTCTCTGCCTACCCTTGTTTCTAAAGCTTTCCCCTTAATCGCTCCCTACACACGCACCATCCAACAACCCCACTGTCGTTTTTTCCATGTCACCCCTTCCTTGAAACACATTAAGTCCCTTCCCTCAAGAAAGCTCTTGGTGTGGATGTTGATGTGAACTGAACACTGCTTCTTTTTCCCTTCCCACCCCATCCCAAACAGGCACCACCAACCGATTCATCAGGCTTCTGCTCGCGAGCTTGCCGCTGAAGCACTGGAGTCATTGTTTTCTGTCCCGCGCCCTCTTAAATACACGCCAACTCCCTTGATATCTTTTCAAATCACTGATTTCTTTCTCCCCTCTCACCGCTTTCTCAAACATGCGCCACCACAGGCCTTTGCTCGTGAGCTTGCTGCCGACCGTGTGGAGCCTTATTACCTCTCCGACCCCATCCCAGAGAAGGTGCGTCTGGGTTATGTATATTGTCGATCATGTATTCTGGGTTGAAGCATATGTGTTTGGTGGTTTAAGAATTGCTGCCAACCTTCCCGTCTGGAGCCTTATTACCTCTCGTGAGCTTGCTGACGATGCACTGGAGCCATACTACCTCTCCGACCCCATCCCAGAGAAGGTGAGAATGAGCCGAATACAAGGTGGCTTTTGAGTCGACTCAAAAGTCACCTCTGCACTGGAATGCATTTGTTGGGCTTGCTGTCAACACACCAGAGCCATACTATCTCTTCACGACTCCATACCACAGATATCAGCCATATGTACTGAGCTGGAGTATACTTTCTTTGCTAGGCAGCTTGAGTTGCTGCTGACGCACCAGAGCCCTACTACCTCTCCCTCCTTCCCTCTCACTCTATACCTCGCCTCTGCCCTCTCCTTCCACCCTGCCTGCACTCTTCCTTCCCGCCTCAAACATCATTGCGTGCAGAATGACGGGCCAGTGCTGACGGTGGTGGGGAAGAGCGGATTCCATAGTCCCAGCCTCATTGCTCTGTTCTCATTCCCCATCCATCCCTCTCACTCCGTGGTTCAGTCCTCTCTCATTGCACCCCTTCCTCCAATGCGTGCAGAATGACGGGCCAGTGTTGACGGTGGTGGGGAAGAGCGGATTCCAAAGTCCCAGCCTCATTGCTCTGTTCTCATTCCCCATCCATCCCTCTCACTCCGTGGTTCAGTCCTCTCTCATTGCACCCCTTCCTCCAATGCGTGCAGAATGACGGGCCAGTGCTGACGGTGGTGGGGAAGAGCGGATTCCAAAGTCCCAGCCTCATTGCTCTGTTCTCATTCCCCATCCATCCCTCTCACTCCGTGGTTCAGTCCTCTCTCATTGCACCCCTTCCTCCAATGCGTGCAGAATGACGGGCCAGTGCTGACGGTGGTGGGGAAGAGCGGATTCCAAAGTCCCAGCCTCATTGCTCTGTTCTCATTCCCCATCCATCCCTCTCACTCCGTGGTTCAGTCCTCTCTCATTGCACCCCTTCCTCCAATGCGTGCAGAATGACGGGCCAGTGCTGACGGTGGTGGGGAAGAGCGGATTCCAAAGTCCCAGCCTCATTGCTCTGTTCTCATTCCCCATCCATCCCTCTCACTCCGTGGTTCAGTCCTCTCTCATTGCACCCCTTCCTCCAATGCGTGCAGAATGACGGGCCAGTGCTGACGGTGGTGGGGAAGAGCGGATTCCAAAGTCCCAGCCTCATTGCTCTGTTCTCATTCCCCATCCATCCCTCTCACTCCGTGGTTCAGTCCTCTCTCATTGCACCCCTTCCTCCAATGCGTGCAGAATGACGGGCCAGTGTTGACGGTGGTGGGGAAGAGCGGATTCCAAAGTCCCAGCCTCATTGCTCTGTTCTCATTCCCCATCCATCCCTCTCACTCCATGGTTCAGTCCTCTCTCATTGCACCCCTTCCTCCAATGCGTGCAGAATGACGGGCCAGTGCTGACGGTGGTGGGGAAGAATTTCAAGGAGATCGTGATGGACAGAACCAAGGACGTGCTACTCAAGGTACTATTGGTTAAAGGCCTGTTTACGCATATATTGTTACAGCAACTGAACACGCCTCCAAACGGATTTCAAGGAGATCGTGGTGGACAGAACCAAGGACGTGCTACTCAAGGTACTATTTGTTAAAGGCCTGTTTACGCATATATTGTTACAGCAACTGAACGCGCTTCCAAACGGATTTCAAGGAGATCGTGATGGACAGAACCAAGGACGTGCTACTCAAGGTACTATTGGTTGAAGGCCTGTTTACGCATATATTGTTACAGCAACTGAACGCGCCTCCAAACGGATTTCAAGGAGATCGTGATGGACAGGACCAAGGACGTGCTACTCAAGGTACTATTGGTTTAAAGCCTGTTTACGTAGGTTTTGTTAGAGCACTTGGACAATTCTCCGAACGAATTTCAAGGATATTGTAATGACTGCACTGTCAGGACTGCACTGTCAGGACTGCACTGTCAGGACTGCACTGTCAGGACTGCACTGTCAGGACTGCACTGTCAGGACTGCACTGTCAGGACTGCACTGTCAGGACTGCACTGTCAGGACTGCACTGTCAGGACTGCACTGTCAGGACTGCACTGTCAGGACTGCACTGTCAGGACTGCACTGTCAGGACTGCACTGTCACAGACCTTGACCCCGCCTTCACGATGCTGATTTCTCACTCACCACACACATGCTGTCGGACGTGCCCTCACTGGTCTGGACGCACGACTCTCCTTATCCTATTACCTCCCCTCCACACCTGCCCTGCACAGCTGGTCGTGGATCACTGTCAGGACTGCACAGGCCTCAATCCCATCTTCAAGAAGCTTGCACTTACTAGCCTTTGCCCACATGATTCTCCTTATCCTATTACCTCTCCTCGTTCACTGCCCTGCACAGGTAGACGTGCATCACTCTCACGACTGCACCGACCTCCACCCCACCTTCATGAAGCTTATACCTCACTCACCGCACATGCTGTCTCACTTTAATCCTCCTTCCCCCGCTCCCTACTCCACCCAAACCCCTCACGTCCACAGATCGACGTGGATCACTGTCAGGACTGCACAGACTTCGACCCCACCTTCAAGAACCCCACCCTTTCTTGGCTGTCTTGAAGCCCCCCCCCCCCCCCCCCCCCCCCCCGGCTCCCCCTGCCTTTCTCCCTCCCCTCACCCCTACAGATTGATGTGGATCACTGTCAGGACTGCACAGACCTCGACCCCACCTTCAAGAAGCTCGCTCTTAAATTCTCTGATGTGCCCTCGCTCGTCTTTGCGCGGATGAACGCGCGCAACAACGAATACCCGGGCCTGGAGGTGAGTGGCTGATCACTCAACGAGTAGGTGGGATTGAGTGTGTGTGAGTGTCACGTGCTGCATTGCACCGCTCGCAAGCTCACCACCTGTGTACCCTCACTCGCCTTTGCGCGCATGAACTCCCGCAACCACGAGTACCCAGGCCTGGAGGTGAGTGAGTGGTTGGTTACCAGAAAGGCGGAATGTTGAATGAAGAATCCAGTGAAGGCCTGTGCTGTGCTCTACACAGCAGCACTGCCCTCAAGTTCACCACCTTGCCCCTGTTGGCCTTTGCCTGCATGAACACCCACAGCACGTGTTTGGGCCTGGATGTGAGTGGTTGGTTGGTTGGTGGTTACTGAATAAGGTAGGTCAACTGTGCCGCACTGCACCGCTCTGAAACTCACCTATCACCAACCCACGCATCACCCACCCACCACGTGTTGGCCCTCCCACGCTGCTGCTCAATTGCCTACTGTCACCCACCCAACCATCACCCACACCACACCTTACCCTCCCAGCCCACCCGCCCATTACCCACACGTCCATTTCCCCCCCGACCCAACACCAGGTGTCGGCCTTCCCCACGCTGCTGCTCTACCCCGCCAATCGCAAGTCTGATCCGGTACGTCCATACAGCTTGATTCATGTGCAGCACATACAGTGAGCACGTGTAGCACACACACAGCACGTACAGCAGTTTACACACCACTCACCCACCAGGTGTCAGCCTTCCCCACACTGCTGCTCTATCCCGCCAATTGAAAGTCGGATCCGGAACGCCCATACAGCTTGATTCACGTGCACCACATACAGCACGGAGAGCACAGACAGCACGGAGAGCACATACAGCACAGAGAGCACATACAGCATGGAGAGCACATACAGCACATACTGCACTTAATGCACCACTCACCCACCAGGTGTAGAGAGGGTGTTTTTGAGACGTCTCAAAAACACCCTCTCTACACGTCACATACAGCACAGAGAGCACATACAGCACATACTGTAGTTAATGCACCACTCACCCACCAGGTGTCAGCCTTCTCAACGCTGCTGCTCTACCCCGCCAATCGCAAGTCTGATCCGGTACGAACGTACACTTGCATCACGCTTGCAGCACTTGCGGCACGCTTGCAGTACTTGCATCACGCTTCCCGGTACGAATGCCCAGCTCAGATTTTACACTTCTCCCCCCTGCTTTTGATTGTGCACTTGTCACCACGGCCCCGTACATAGTTTGCGGCTAAAGCGCCTTGAGAGCCTCCCTGACGAGTTTTGATGACGGAAGTATGTAACCCTTCCATGCTTGCTTCACTTCCTGTCCGTGTCGTACCTGTGCTGCAGATCGACACGCACCACACCCGCCTCGGCCCGTTGACCGACTTTGTTGTGAGGAACTCGGCCATTCCGGTTAAGATGCCCTCTGAGGTGCCACCTCAGAGGCCGTCCCAGCGCTCCAGGTCAAAGGAGGAGGCGGAAGAGGAGAAGGAGCTTCGCCGCGACCTTGAGGAGGCGAAGGCGCCGAAAAAAGGGTCTCATGATGAGCTTTGATTCTGGTGATAGCCACTTATCTGAATGAATGCCTCGAGGCAGTAAAAACAGTAGAGCGGTGGTTTGCTTTGATTTCTGTGCTCCCGTCAGGAAATTGACCGATCTGTCAGAAAGGAGAGAATGCTTATCTTGAAGGTTTGGCTTCTATTCCCCAGGATGCTATCCGTCTTACATCGTATTTTCTCCGATGCATACCGAGTGGGCTTGTAGTGGCTCGGAGTGTCGACATAGCGGGTATGTCTCTAACCAAAAACGCGCCAAAAAACCCATGCCGGGCTGACAAAGTGGAAATGGAGCCGCCAGCGAAGCGAAGCGACGGGCCCAATTGGGTCCAGACCGAACCTCCTCACAAGGCAGCGACACGGAAACTGAACGACAGCCGAGCCTTGCATAGTTTTGAACCGCCGCCGCAACTTTGGAATCCGCCCTTCAAACGTTTTATCCCATCGAAGGTCACGGAAACTTGCTAGCGATTGGTTCTTCGAGCTTCTGGATACCTTTTCTGTGCTGAAGGGTGCCCGTAAAACTCCTCACTGTAATTTTCTGCTGGGTTTCCTAGGTTTTCTACCCGTCAAACCCACGAAAACGACTCTCGGTTCGGAGACACCTAGGTTTTCCACAAGGCTGTAGTTTGTGTCAGAACGGGGGGAGAGCTTGACTTGGCTTTTGTAGGAGCAAGCTGTAGTTAGTTTCCTCGCAAATTGAGGTGGTGGATACGTGTTTTGCTTTGTGGACTTTGTTCGAGTTACGAAGCTAGCCGTCCTCTCAGGCCTTTCGTGAAGAAGACGCTTGTTCAAATGCGCGGGAACGCCACTGTCACGCCATTGCATACTATCATGACCGTTGCTCAAACACCGTACCCCCGCAGACCTAGGTAGTCTTCGTGTTAATTTTTTTACCCGGGATAATTGTTTGTAGAAGCGATTTTGTACAGAATCTCGGTACAAATGGCAGTAGGGTACAAAGGAAAGCCAATCTTTAGAAGCTCAGCTAAGAGCCACTCGAGTCGCGGAAAATTATTAGTGCCGGCGACGGTCGCGCTGCTAGCAGCGGTCGGCGTGCTACACTACTACTCTTACCTTAAGGGCCATCATGCTACGAACGAGTTCGCCAATATCGAAGGTGTCATACGACGGGAGCTAGTGGACCAGCGATCGGATCCCGAATGCCACGTCGACCCTAGTCCTGCCACGTGTCAGCACATCGACCTCGTCGCGTTCGCAACGGTCAGTGGGCCTTCCTTGGCTGATGCTCACAGCAAGCTCGTTCTCATCAATCCCTAAAGCTCCACGTGTACGATAGGTATAATCTCAAGGTCGTATCGCGACATGCGTGCAACTGTGCCACTGCAGGCGTAGAGTGACCAACTCTTGTATGATCGTTTCTGTTTCGCGCTTCTCTCCTACTGGTTCTCCCTCTTGAGGGATCCTTTCATGATAAGCGATCAGCAAGAGATTCCTGAGAAGCCTCAGGCCGTCGTCCTTCCGGACCATCTGTTTTCTCTTCTCTCCATTTCACCCACCCTGTGCACCTCCCTCATCGGCTTCTCCCCCCGCAGCTCATCTCCTTTCCGCCTCTCACCACTCCCACTTCCCCCTCCGCTCGCCCCACCCCTCCCCTCCTCTCGCAGGCAGCTCATTGACTCACAGGCAGCTCCACGTGGCCCTCAGTGAGTCTCTTTCCCACCTCTCTCCTCCCTCCCTTTCTCTCGTCCTCAACCCTCAGGGCCCGATACCCGAGCGCCTGGAGACTGTGTGTTTGGCGCACGCAATACCAGCAGTGCACCAGCTGACCGTGCGAGTGCTCTGGCTCACCAAGGGTTCCTCTTAGACTTTCCTCCCCCGCTTTCCCTTCTTCGCTATTTCATCAGGGCCCCATACCCCAGCGATTGGAGACGGTGTGTGTGGCGTACGCGGTAGCAGCAGTGCACCAGCTGACCGTGCGAGTGCTCTTTTGGACTTCCTTACCTCTCTTCCCTTCTTCCCTCCCTTCCTTTCCTTCGCCCTCTTCCCTCAGGGCCCGATACCCCAGCGCCTGGAGACTGTGTGTTTGGCGCACGCGGTGGCAGCAGTGCACCAGCTCACCGTGCGAGTGCTCTGGCTCACAAATGGTTCCTATTTCCCCCCTTCCTTCTCTTCCCCTCCTTCTCCCTCATCCCGCAGGGTCCCATACCCCAGCGCTTGGAGACTGTGTGTTTGGCGCACGCAGTAGCAGCAGTGCATCAACTCACCGTGCGAGTGCTCTGGCTCTCAGATGAGCCGCCAGCAAGCCAACAACAGCCGCAGCAGCAGCAGCAGCAGCAGCAGCAGAGGCAGAGGGCGGGCATGCCATACGTGCCGTTCTCAGCCCTGTTTGAGCCGGCGCTGACGGTGGTGGAGACGAATCTCTCCGCTGCTGACGCCACCAGGCGGTTCATCCACGAGCTCTTCACTCCCAAGGCGGTGAGTGCAGTGCGGTGTAATGCAGTGTGGTGTAGTGCGGTGTAGTGCAGTGCGTTGAGTACAGTGGAGTGATGGGCATGCCAGCAGCAACAGTCCGCTGCTGATGCCACCAGGCGGTTCATCCACGAGCTCTTCACTCTCAAGGCAGTGAGTGCAGTGCGGTGCAGTGTGGTGTAGGGCGGCGTAGTGCAGTGAGTTGGAGCAATGGGTATGTTAACAGCAGCAAGCCGCGGCTGATGCCACGAGGCGGTTCATTCACGAGCTCTTCATTCCCAAGGCAGTGAGTGCAGTGCGGTGCAGTGTGGTGCAGTGCAGTGTGTGAGAAAGATGGGTATGCAACAGCAGCAGTCTGCTGCTGATGCCACCAGGCGGTTCATTCACGAGCTCTTCACTCTCAAGGTGGTGAGTGCAGGGTGGGCATGGGATGGATGGAAGGGATCGGATAAGTGGCAGCAGAGGATGGGACACTTGAGACGGATGAGGGTATCCCACACACCCAAGGCGGTGTGCACGAAAGGGCAGAGCAGGGGAGGGCAGGGCAGGGTATGGGATGTATGAGAATGATTGGCAGTTTTTTAGCAAGGCGGTGAGTGCAGGGCAGGGCATGGCAGAGCGTGGGATGGGTGAGTGCACATGGGCTATCCCAGCAAGAAAGCATGTGAGTTCAGACTACTTCTGAGTTGACTCAAAAGCATCCCCAGCAAGCAAGTGTGTGGGTGCAGTCTACGGGTGCGCTGTGCTATCCTCTCCCCTACCCGTCACCCTCAAACGGTCCTTTGTATTTTGTGTCACCCTCCCGTTCTATCCTCCCTTCCCTCGCAGCACCACTACCCCCGTGCTTCCGAAACACGTGGGAGCGAATTTACCGAGCCTCAGTGCGCATTGCAAAGCCTTGACCCTCATTCCCCCTTTTCCCCTACCCTCCCTCCCGCTCCCCCGCATCGGCAAGTTTCATAAGTCCGTCTTTCTCCCTTTTCCCCTCGCTCTATCTCCCTCCCTTCCCCCTTCCATTCCTCTCTAGCCCCCTCGCAGCACCAGTACGACCCGTGCTTCCAAGACACGTCGGAGAGAATTCAGCGAGCGAAGAGGGTGTGAATTCAGCGAGTGAAGAGGGTGTGAATTCAGCGAGCGAAGAGGGTGTGAATTCAGCGAGCATCAGCTGGTTGACTGCTTCCCTCATGCCGCCACTTCGCTCTATCTTGCCTTCCCTTCCCTTCCCTTCCCTTCCCTTCCCTTCCCTTCCCTTCCCTTCCCTTCCCTTCCCTTCCCTTCCCTTCCCTTCCCTTCCCTTCCCTTCTCCCCCCCTCGCTCTCTTCGCCCCTCGCAGCGCCACTATGGCCCGTGCTTTCGAGACACGTGGGAGCGCATTCAAAGAGCATCAGTGTGCATTGTCAGGCTGTGACCTTACCGCTCTCCCTTCCCTTCCATCCCTTCCCACCGCTCTCCCCCTTGCAGCACCAATACGGCCCATGCTTTCGAGGCACGTGGGAGCGGATTCAGCGAGTGTCAGTGTGCATTGTCAGGCTGTGACCCTTACCGCTCTCCCTTCCCTTCCATCCCTTCCAACCACTCTTCGTCCCTTGCAGCGCCACTACGGCCCGTGCTTTCGAGACACGTGGGAGCGGATTCAAAGAGCGTCAGCTGGTTGACTGCTTCCCTCATGCCGCCGCTTCGCTCTATCTTGCCTTCCCTTCCCTTCCCTTACCTTCTCTCCCTCTTCCCTTCCCTTCTCCCCCCCTCGCTCTCTTCGCCCCTCGCAGCGCCACTACGGCCCGTGCTTTCGAGACACGTGGGAGCGCATTCAAAGAGCGTCAGCACGCAATACTGCCTTCCCCCGCTCCTCCTCAGCCGACGCTGACTCAGACTTGGACTCTGCTGACTCAGATTCCGACTCTGCTGACTCAGATTCAGACTCTGCTGACTCAGACGCAGCGTCGGATGCAGCCGGCGCACGCGGTAAAGGAACCGAGGAGGCTTATAGCGAGGATGAGCCGGTGCCGGTTTCTATGTGGACGGGGGAACTGGACAGTCAGGAGGTGGCGGGTCGGCCCTTGGGATTGCCGCGGAAGCTCACCCTGCATGGCTGGTTCCGCACTGATTCGCTGCAGCGCAGCAGCGTGGTGAGTGGTGGTTGAGATGGGTAGGCAGAGATACAGTGGTATCGGATGGGTGAGCTGGACAGTCAGGAGGTGGCGGGGCGGCCCTTGGGATTGCCGAGGAAGCTGACTCTGCATGGCTGGTTCCGCACTGATTCGCTGCAGCGCAGCAGCATGGTGAGTGGTGGTTGAGAGGGATGGGCAGAGATACAGTGGTATAGGATGGGTGAGCTGGACAGTCAGGAGGTGGCGGGGCGGCCCTTGGGATTGCCGCAGAAGCTGACTCTGCATGGGTTCGCTGCAACGCAGCAATGCGGTGAGTAGCGGTTGAGATGGGTATGACTGATTCCCTGCAATGCAGCAGTGTGGTGAGCGGTTGAGAGGAGTAGGCAGCGATGCAGTGACCGTGAGCTGGACAGTGAGGAGGTGGCGGGGCAGCCCTTGGGATTGCCGAGGAAGCTGAATCTGCATGGGTGGTTTCGGACTGACTCCCTGCAGCGCAGCAGTGTGGTGAGCGGGCGATAGGGTGAGTGGTAAGGCCTGGTACAGGCTGATACAGGCTAACAAGCTTTAACCCAGTAGGCCCTGGGGCAGGAAGAGCGGGTGGGGTGTCTGGTGTGGGCGCACGTGCAGAAGTGCTACGCGTCTGGTGTGGGCGCACGTGCAGAAGTGCTACTCGTCTGGTGTGGGCGCACGTGCAGAAGTGCTACGCGTCTGGTGTGGGCGCACGTGCAGAAGTGCTACGCGTCTGGTGTGGGCGCACGTGCAGAAGTGCTACGCGTCTGGTGTGGGGGCACGTGCAGAAGTGCTACTCGTCTGGTGTGGGCGCACGTGCAGAAGTGCTACGCGTCTGGTGTGGGCGCACGTGCAGAAGTGCTACGCGTCTGGTGTGGGCGCACGTGCAGAAGTGCTACGCGTCTGGTGTGGGGGCACGTGCAGAAGTGCTACTCGTCTGGTGTGGGCGCACGTGCAGAAGTGCTACGCGTCTGGTGTGGGCGCGGCTGCACCCCTCACCTTCCGCTGTTGCTGAGTTTGTGTTGCTCTCTTCCATCTCCCCCTCCTTGTCGCCGCCACCCACAGGAGGACTGGCAGGAGGAGCGGGTGGGGTGTCTGGTGTGGGCGCACGTGCAGAAGTGCTACGCGCGGCTGCAGCCCTCCCCTGCTGTGGCTGCTATGGTGCGAGAGGAGGGGTTGAACCAGACGCGAGTGGACAGCAGCATTGGCGTGTACCTGGATGTGAGTCTGCAGTGCACGGTGTGCTCTTTTGGTTGTAGTATCCACCTGGTATATGTCTCTGCAGCCCTCACCTGCTGTGGCGGCGATGGTGTGAGAGGAGGGGTTGAACAGCACACGCGTGGAGGGCAGCATTGGCGTGTTCCTGGATGTGAGTGAGAGCACCGCACTGCACTGCACCACAGTGCATTGCACTGCACTGCATTGTACTGCACTGCATCGCACTGCACCGCAGTGCACTGCACAGTGTCCTGGTAGTATAGGCCCTCTATGCTACCATGGTGCGAGAGGACACGCGTGGAGGGCAGCATTGGCGTGTACCTGGATGTGAGCGGCAGCACTGAATGCACAGTGCTGAATGCACAGCACTGAATGCACAGTGCTGAATGCACAGCACTGAATGCACAGTGCTGAATGCACAGCACTGAATGCACAGTGCTGAATGCACAGCACTGAATGCACAGTGCTGAATGCACAGCACTGAATGCACAGTGCTGAATGCACAGCACTGAATGCACAGCACTGAATGCACAGCACTGAATGCACAGTGCTGAATGCACAGCACTGAATGCACAGTGCTTAATGCACAGCACTGAATGCACAGTGCTGAATGCACAGCACTGAATGCACAGTGCTGAATGCACAGCACTGAATGCACAGCACTGAATGCACAGCACTGAATGCACAGTGCTGAATGCACAGCACTGAATGCACAGTGCTCCAGTGGTCGTACCCACCTGGTAGGTCAGTTTCTCTGTTGCTGCCAGGATGCACCCCTCACCTGGATGTGAGTGGGAGCACCGCACTGCACTGCACTGCACTGCACTGCACTGCACTGCACTGCACTGCACTGCACAGTACTCAAGTGGTCGTACCTGCCTGGTAGGTCAGTTTCTATGGCACCAGAGGCACCTGCCCCGGCTGCCCCACCCCTCTCAATCCTGCCCACTCTGCCACCTCGTTTCTCCCCCCCTCCCTGCTTTCAAACCCGCCTCCTTCCCCTTCCCCTTGCCACCCCCCCTCATACCACACACCACACACACGCCTCCAGGCCACCGAGTTGACTTTTGTCTCGACTCAAAAGCCTCCTTCCCCTTGCCACCCCCCCTCGTACCACACACACCTGCAGGCCACCCCCCGAGGCACCTGCCCTGGATACCCTTCCTCTCTCAATCCTTCTGCCAATTGTGCCACCGCATGCCTCCCTTCTGTCTTCTCCTCCACACACCTGCAGGCCACCCCCCGAGGCACCTGCCCTGGCTGCCCTGCCCTTCCTCCCTCAATCCTTCCCATCCCACTGTGCTGCGCGAACCCTCGCCCTCACCATGCCCCACCGCACTCTCTTCCTTCCTTCGATTCACCTCACCTTTTATTTGTTCTTCTTTTCTTTCCTTTCCCCACCCTCTTCCTTCCCAAACACAAACAGGCCACCCCCAGAGGCACCTGCCCCGGCTGTCCCTCCTCTCTCAATCCTTCCGACTGTGCCGCCCGGACTCTCGCGCTCACCATGCTCCACCGCCCGTCGATCGACTTCACGCTCGGCTCCGCCGCCCAGTCGCACCCGGCGCACATCGTCTCTTTCTTTGATGCCGACCGCGCGCCGTACGTGTCGCCGTCCGCCGCGTTCCGGGCGGCAAACTGCGGAGAGAAGCTGGTGCAGGCGATGGGGGAGAAGGGGGAGGGGGCGGCTGAGAGGCTTGCAGAATTGGTACTGACATGCAAGCAACGAGAGGTGAGAGCAGTTGGCTCTTGACACCTTGCCTCCTTTCTCTTCCCCCCTCTCTCTCACTCCTTTTGTTCAACTGGCAAACTGTGGGGAGGCTGGGGCGGATGATGGGGGATGAGGGGGAGGGGGCGGCTGAGAGGCTGGCGGAACTGGTGCTGACTTGCAAGCAGCGAGAGGTAAGAGCTGTTGCCTCTTAAATCCCTTCCCTGCCTCCTCTTCCCCCTCTCTCGCTCTTTCTGTTCAACTGGCAAGCTGCGGGGAGAGGGCTGGTGCAGGCGATGGGGGAGAAGGGGAAGGGGGCGGCTGAGAGGCTGGCAGAATTGGTACTGACTTGCAAGCAGCGAGAGGTGAGAAGAAGATATTATATGTCGATTTTTGAGTCGACTCAAAATTCAACATATTACATGTCCGTGCCCTCCATTCTCATCTGCCCTCCAGCTCTGCTTGCTCAAGCCCCATTGCTGCCAGCTCTGCTTGCTCAAGCCCCATTGCTGACAACGAGGGCTTTTGAGGCGCCTCAGATATCGTACCTCAAGTAGACGCTTCTGAGGTACCTTGTGCCTCTAGCTGGCAAATTCCATAAGCGTCCTCCGCATTCCCATCTGCCCTCGAGCCGACAAGCTGTGATGGAGGCAAGGTACGAAGGAGACAAGGTACCAAGAAGGAGGCAAGGTACGAAGAAGGAGGCAAGATACGAAGGAGGCAAGGTACGAAGGAGACAATGTACGAAGAAGGAGGCAAGCACGCTCGTAGACTTTGTTGCAGCAAGGCCATGATGCCACCTGCTTCTGTCTTCCCCTCGTGCCTCCGTCTTGCTTCACCCACCCATTCACGCGCAAACCACCGGGGTGGTGGTGATGGAGCCAAGCACGCTCTCAGACTTCATCGCAGCAAGGGCCATGCACTACCTTGTTGCAGCGAGGCCATGATGCCACCTGCTTCTGTCTTCCCCTCGTGCCTCCGTCTTGCTTCACCCACTCATGCAGGTGGCTGATCTCTTTCTGCTCGCGCAAACCACCGGGCTGGTGGTGATGGAGCCAAGCACGCTCTCAGACTTCATCGCAGCGAGGGGGAGGCGATGCCTGCTGCCCTCCTTCCGTCGTGCCCACCTGCTGCCTCCTCTCTTGTTCCCGTCTTGCGTCGCCCACCATGGCAGGTGGCGGATCTCTTCCTCCTCGCGCAAACCACCGGCCTCGTGGTGATGGAGCCGAGCACGCTCTCAGACTTCATCGCAGCGAGGGGGAGGCACCGTCTCCCCTCCTTCCGCCTCTTCACGCCGCTGTGCCTGGCTGAGCGCGCCTGGCCCATGACTGTTCAGCCATTCGCCTACTTCTTTGCTGTGGAACGTGAGTTTTGATATGGACATATGAATGCATCATACATGTGCGCATGGTTGCATCCCCTTCACGCCTCTGTGCCTAATGGGGCGAGCCAGGCCCATGACTGTTTCATCCCTTTGGAGGCGCCTCAAAAGGCGAGCCAGGCCCATGACTGTTCATCCCTTTGGAGGCGCCTCAAAAGGCGAGCCAGGCCCATGACTGTTCATCCCTTTGGAGGCGCCTCAAAAGGCGAGCCAGGCCCATGACTGTTCATCCCTTTGGAGGCGCCTCAAAAGGTGAGCCAGGCCCATGACTGTTCATCCCTTTGGAGGCGCCTCAAAAGGCGAGCCAGGCCCATGACTGTTCATCCCTTTGGAGGCGCCTCAAAAGGCGAGCCAGGCCCATGACTGTTCATCCCTTCGCCTTCTTCTGAGTCGACTCAGAAGTCAACTTCTTTGCCGTTGCACGTGAGTTGCATGTGCATGATGCAATAGGCTATTCCTAGAGTTTGCCGGAGCAGGCTGCGTTGCATCCATGCTTGTTATAGTTACCCCTTGTTACCCCTCGTTACCCCTTGTCACCCTTTGTTACCCCTTGTTACCCCTTGTCACCCTTTGTTACCCCTTGTTACCCCTTGTCACCCTTTGTTACCCCTTGCTCCTCCTCCCTTCTCCCATCTCTCCCTGGGAATCGCCTACTGCAGCATGCCCAAGGTGACCTGCACGGGATGGAAGATGTGGCAGCGAGCCATGTTCAACCTGCCCAACCCTCTACTTAACCCCTTGTCACCCCTCGTCACCCCTTGTCACCCCTCGTCACCCCTTGTCACCCCTTGTCACCCCTTGTCACCCCTTGTCACCCCTTGTTACCTCTTCCCCCACCAGCTTCTTTAGGGATCGCCTGCTGCAGCATACCAAAGGTGACCTGCACGGGATGGAAGATGTGGCAGCGAGCCAACTCGGCCTGCCCAACCCTCTCTGTACCCCCTTGTCATCCCTTGTCACCCCTTGTCACCCCTTGTTACCCCTTGTTACTCCTTGTTCCTGATTTCTTCGTCCGTGCCCCACCAGCGTCCCTAGGCATAGCCTACTGCAGCATGCCCAAGGTGGCCTGCACGGGATGGAAGATGTGCCTGCGAGCCATGCTCGGCCTGCCCCACCTCTCCTTAACCCTTGTTACCCCTCGTCAGCCCTTGTTATACCCCCCCATATCCCCACCAGCTTCTTTGGGAATCGCCTACTGCAGCATGCCGAAAGTCGCCTGCACGGGATGGAAGATGTGGCTGCGAGCCATGTTCAACCTGCCCAACCCCTCTGTTTACAACTTGTTATCCCTTGTCACCGCTTGTCACCCCCCCATACCCCCACATCAGCAACCCTTGGCATAGCCTACTGCAGCATGCCCAAGGTGGCCTGCACGGGATGGAAGATGTGGCTGCGAGCCATGCTCGGCCTGCCCAAACCCCGAGACCCCTTCCTCGCACACAGCCACAAGACCTCAGGCTTGGGAGACCTCTCACAGAAATACTCAGAAAAGCAAGCCACAAAGCTCATGACACGCCGCACCATGTTTAAATTCACGTTCGTTCGGAACCCGTACGTGCGGATCGCGTCGACGTACCTGAACAAGCTCGTGATCACCGATGCTCCGGAGAGGAAGGAGGGGTGGGGGACGCGGAAGTTTTGGAACCAGGAGTTTTTTGGGACCGCAAAGAGGATTCTGGATTTATTGAAGGATCCGGCGACGGATCTTGTGAGCTTCCCGGATTTTATTCGGTTGTTGGATCATCTGAGGCGGACGCGTGTCAAGACGGACCGGCACATCTCCAGACAGGTGAGACTCACACATTTCAAGTCAAGTCAGGTGAGACTCACAGAATTCAATTCAGGTGAGACTCACACAATTCAAGTCAGGTGAGACTCACACATTTCAAGTCAGGTGAGACTCACACAATTCAAGTCAGGTGAGACTCACACAATTCAAGTCAGGTGAGACTCACACATTTTAAGTCAGGTGAGACTCACACAATTCAAATCAGGTGAGACTCACACAATTCAAGTCAGGTGTGACTCACACATTTCAAGTCAGGTGAGACTCACACAATTCAAGTCAGGTGAGACTCACACATTTCAAGTCAAGTGAGACTCACACATTTCAAGTCAGGTGAGACTCACACATTTCAAGTCAGGTGAGACTCACACAATTCAAGTCAGGTGAGACTCACAAATCTCAAGTCAGGTGAGACTCACACATTTCTAGTCAGGTGAGGCTCAAACACCCTGTGTTTGATGTGTCAATGAGAGTCTGAGAGGCTTGTCTTCCGGATGCCATCATGGATGTCATTTGTCATTAATGCGCATCTCCAGACAGTGTTTACATTGTGAACTAATATAAGCATACTATTATTTCTGCTATGGTCATTAATATTATTGACGTTATTGTTGTTATTGGTAATTCAATCTGTATAATTATTATTATCACTCTTCTCTCCCAGGTGGACATCTGTGGCTTTGCGCACGTCCAGTATGTCTTTGTGGATCGGTTCGAGCACTTGGAGGAGGATGTGAGGCGGGTCACTGCAAGGTTCAATGACACGCATTTCCAGACAATGCAAGGTTCCTTTATCACCTCTCTGCACTTCACTTCATTCCAGGTGGACATTTGTGGCCTGGCGCACGTTCAGTATGACTTTGTGGGTCGATTTGAGCACTTGGAGGAGGATGTGAGGCGGGTTACAGCGAGGTTCAACGACTCGCATCTTGATATTTTCAACTTCGGCAAGTCGGTGCATGCGACGAATTCTGAGGCGCAACTCGCTCGGCTTTATGACAGGGTATGTTTCTCTTATTTACACACTCTAACATGGAGAATCAAATTCACCGGCTCACATTTCCACTCGTTCAACTTTGGCAAGTCGGTGCACGCGACAAACTCTGAGGTGCAAATAGCCGGCTCTATGCCAGGGTATGCTCTGGGATTATAACCATTCTAGGAAGGTAATTTAGGTTCAACGACTCACATCTAGACAATGCCAACTTTGGGGAAGTCGGTGCCTGGCACCAACTCTTAGTCACTAGGGGTGTATTCAGGTTCAACAACTGGAACCTTGGTACCGCTAACCAACATGATGGATTTTGGATTGCAACTGACTCCCCTGCATAACAGGGTAAGTATCGTCACATCCAACTTCAACATCCCTTTTGCACATACACTGCACTGAATTCCTATGAATGATGTAACGTGCATCTCATCTGTTTCTCCTTTTTGGTGCTCTGCAGGATACGGTGCTGACTGTTTCTCGCATATTCAAGAGTGACCTCAATGTTCCCCTCAACAACATAACATACGACATGCCGGATATTCTGCGGAAACTTGTGGAAGGTGGTGCAAGTGGTGACACCAAGGTGCAATGAATGCAGTGAAGGAAGGCGGGGTCACTGTAAACAGCAACACATATGACATACTGATGTTCCAGTTTGAAGTACCATAGCGTTTCTCCACAGTAATTTCTTATTGTAGAGGGAATAAGGGTGGGTCTAACTTTGCACATGTACGGAAAATTTTCAGCTCAGTTGCCAGAATTAAGCATGTAACAGAACTTTTTACGTACGAAATCAGTTTGACGCGAGACTGTACATAAATGAGCTCATTTCAGAAACGTGCCCCGGGACGGGCGGGAACACATCCGAAGGTTCGTCTCCCAAATCGCTTCCCTGTCAAATTCGTCAAACAGTAACTCCCGTTTCTCGCCAAAACCGTTTCGCCATAATTCAGGCCCCCAGAAGTCAGACTTTTTTGTCTGATTTGCTTGTTTTAGTCTGAGATTTCGGACTTTTTTTAGGGTGTACTCTGTAAAATTCAGAGTTTTTATTGTCTCAACTCTGTGAAAATCAGATTTTTCTCTACGTTGACTCTGACGTTTCAGAGTTTTCCGGGAGTGTACTCTGATGAATTCAGAGTACAAACGAGTTCCGACTCTGAATGAATCTACCTGCGCGCCGACACCCAGGATTAGCTGTGGTACATACATTGTACCTGTACCGCCGCCCTGCGGCCCGATGTTTCCCTCGTACAGCTGGATGTTTCACCCGCCCTGCGGCGCGTTCTTTCCCTCGGTGTAAGATGCTGCAGCAGTTGCCATGCCACCCACGTAAACGTGATGGCAAGCAGACGCTCCTTTAGGCAGCATCGTGTACCACGATGCTGCAACATCCACACCACACACTGCAACGATGCGCCTCGTCGTTGCCGTGCATGGTAGGCAACCACCCACACAACTCAATGATGGCCCATCTTGGTAAAGGGCCTTCGTGTTTGTGCTAGGGTTTCATCCACACCCCTCAGCTACATCTCACGGGCCCAAGCCAGTGCCCAGTTTTGCCTCAGCCATCATCTCTCTAGTTAGTTCCTGCTCGGCAGGCTCTTTCACAGCCCCGCCATGGCGGTGCTGGACAATCCCGCCACATGCGACGACGACCCTGATGAGCGGCCTGCCTTAACAGGCTTGGACTTCTTGCTTAGTACTCTAGATCTCGATAAAGCTGCACGCGCCATGCCCGATACAATTCCCATACAGAAAGCACCCGCGGCTCCAGTTTTCTCACTTTCTGCCGACCATACGGCAGAGACATCTGCGGAACCAACCGTTGATTCACAGTCGCAGATTCCGACTCAGACCACGGCGCGCACGACCCGTCTCAAGCAGGCGACCTTGACCTTTGGCAAACCTGCGTCGTCAAATGCCAACGTCAAGAACGCTCCCGGAACATCTGACCGACCGCGACCTCGCCTCAACATCAATCTGGCCGAGCTCATCGAGGGAGTTTACGACGAAGCGATTGACAAGTTCAAAAATAATTGGTCTACCCGTTTTCAGTGGCTCAGAATCACTAAAACCACTACCGGCTTGCCTGCGTTCAAGTGTACCGTTTGTGCAGCCTTTGCTGGCGATGCAGGAAAGTGCGGGAGGCGCGGGAGAGGCGCCACCGACCTGCAGACACACTCTCTCCGTAAACACGCTGGCATGACGAAGCACAAGCTGGCGGTTGAGAGACAGAAATATGAAGAGGAGTGCGGTGGACGGCAGCCACAGATCGACCAACATCGCGCCGCGGTGGACAGTGAGAAGATGCGGACCGTCGCCCTTCTGGACTCGCTGCTGTTCATCAGCAGGTCCGACGCGCCCATGGGGATGTGGGTGAAACTGGTGCGGTACTTGTCGGAGAAGGGCGTGCAAGGCTTCCTTAAGAGAGGGTACGGCACCTACTACACCACGTGAGTGCAGCTGCCGTACGCCTCTTTATAAGTACCCACGTTTTAATAATGTTCTAACTAAATTATTACTGACTTTTGGTTCCATGTGCAGATACGGCTTCGGTGAGCTGACGCAAGCTACAGCTACATGGCTACAGACAACGCAGCTGCAACATGTGTTGTCGTCGCCCTTCGTCGGCATCTCGATTGACGAGAGCACGGATAGGTGCAGCGGGAAGCACTTGATCCTGTTCATCACCTTCGTCCGTGACTTCAAGGTCGTCACGGAGTTCATGGCGCTTCTCACCGTGGAGAAGGCCGACGCCGCTTCTCTTCTGGGCGTTCTGCTATCACACCTGCTGGCAGTCGGGGTCGACCTGCAGCGCATTGCAGGCATCAGCACCGACGGCGCGAACGTCATGATGGGCTGCAAGGGCGGCCTCACGACACGCCTTCGCGTGCGCATTCCCCATTTGGTGTCATCCCACTGCATCGCTCACAGGTAAACCTGTAGGTGCATAGGGTTTTTTGAAGTTCTTTAACGGCTACATGTGACTAATGTTTCCCTTTTTTGTTTTTACAGGGAGGCACTGGCGGCTAAAACAACCGCAGAGAAGATTCCCGCCTTCAACGTCATTGACACGGTGATCCGCACCGTGGCTGAGCATCTCGGTCGAAGTGGGCCATGGCATCAGCGGTTCATGGGGCTGCAGGAAGTCTTCACCTCCACCTCACTGGAGCAGCAAGGGATCCATGCAGTCCGTTGGCTTTCGCGGGGCGGCGCACTGCTCAGACTCGTCGCCGTCCTTCCGGCTCTCATCGTGATGTTGAAGGAGTGGGACGCGACGCTCTATGCGCTAGTGACGAGCTACAGGTTTCATTTCCTCCTGTTTTTCATTGCAGATGTGCTTGAGCAGCTGAACATACTCAACAGGGCATTCCAGCACAAGGAGGTAAGCTCTGGTTTCTTCTTACTAGTTAAGTCTTTGTGCTAATGCCAGCTTCGTTTCTTCTAACCTTAGTCACTAACCACATGTCCACGGGTTTTTTTCCAGCTTGATTATGCCAACGTGCATGCGCAGATCAAGCGTACAACATCCCACATCGAGAGCCGCTACGTCGACTACGGAGACGACTTCGGAGGCGGCGTCAGCGAGCTGCTGTCCCCCTTCATCGCGCGCCATGGGCCTGGAGGAAACCGGGAGGTGAAGGTTGAAGGGATTGATTCGGACGGCCGACCAGCACGCTTCAAATTCGTGCTGCACGAGGACGAGCTGGAGGAGTTTGAAGGGCCCGGCACCCACGATGGCTGTGTGGAGGTTTGCACAGAGTTTGCCGAGGTGATCGTGCACCAACTGGAGCACCGGCTTGGCGACCTGAACGGGATGTCTGGCGCTAGGCTCTTCACCCCCGACGAGTACCCGCTGGAGCGTGGAGAGAGGAACCGCAGGTGCCTCGAGTGGCTTCGGTCGCTTGTCACGCTGTTCAAGGCCGACCTGACGGATGAGATCCTGCCAGATAAGCCATTAAGCAGCTTGGTTTTAATATCAGGCTACCCCGATGCATCGTTTGTATTGCATGTCGCTTCACCTGTTTGAATTTGGGTTCTGAGCTTGCTCCTCCTGTTTTACTTCCTATCCCGTGAGGAATTGACAAGCGCCGCGCAGAGAAGGAGCTGCGCATGTTCACTTCGGTGCTTGCAGCATCTACCAAGGGCGAGCGCAGTTTTCACGCGGGTCTCACTGCCATGCTCAAGACTCCCGGCTGGCGGGAGAACTACCCCAACTTGGTGCTCCTGTGGGTGGCGGTTGCTGTACTGCCGTTGAGCACCGTGGAGTGCGAGCGGGGGTTCTCCCGCCAGAACATCATTAAGTCGTGGAAGAGGGGCGCGCTCAAGGATGCTCGCCTCGGGGACCTTATGTGCATGAGCTTGATGGATTACGCCCCCGACTGGGATGAGATTGTGACAGTCTGGAGGAGTTACAAGAAGCGCAAGCCCCAGAGCAACGCTCCACTCCCGCCTGCAAGAAAGCAACACAACAAGAAGGGCAGGGAGGCAGATGAAGAGATAGATGTAGTAGTTGACCTAGAAGATGAGCAAGATGCAGTTGACTCCGATGATGATGATGATCAGGGCCTCAGATTCGTTTTTAGCTTGGCTGATACGTCAGCCTTAGCAGGCTATGCTGGGCTGATCAATCAGAGTTGGTTAAAAAATAAAAACTGAAATTTCAGACAAGTCACAAAAAAAAAAAAAAACGCTGACTAATCAGCCTCACTAAAAAACGCAGGCTGAACTGGATTGGTTCTATGTTTAGGGCACGCACATGGATGCAGGTTCGGGGTGGGTGAGATGGGGTGAGGTGGGTGTCCTTGTCGTGAGTGCGTGCGGTGCTGCACTGGTGGTGGGTGATTGGCGCATAAGGGATGTGACAACCAATCACATCAATTAAAGCATTCTGTCGGTGACAACGAAGCACCGACGCGTCGGGGAAATTCGTTTTCCCCCGCGTCGGCGCTGTACATGGTGACTTTTGCGTGATTGACAGGTGGATGTACATGGACAGCCGAAACTCACGGCTCTGGCACGAATCTGTAATAGCGTGAGAGTTCAGCCTACACTCTCGTTATAAATCAGCCAACACTTGTAAAAAAACGCTGGAAAATCAGCCAATACATTAAAAAAAAACCTGAACAATCAGCCAACACTTAAAAAAAAAAAAAACTGAATTATCAGCCAACACATCAGCCACAAGTCTGGGAAATCAGCGTCCAGACCCTAAATCAGCCTTTTTTCGCTGACTTCTGAGGCCCTGATGATGATGGATTTAATGAGTAGGAGTCTAGGAGAGGAGGATTAGTAGGATGTTGTAGTGCTAGGATACATGAATATGGTAGTTCTAGCTGGGAGCTAATCAAAGAAAAGTAGCATTTTGTATGTAGGCTTTTGCAATGTACGTTACGTAGTTCAAACAAGACAAACAGTTCAGCAAGAGAGCTAGAAAGACAATCAGACTTGATAGGCGGGTGATTTTGAATCTTTCAGACTTTTATTTTAGGGAACTCTGAACTATCAGCCTTTTTTTTTTAACAACTCTGTCAGATTCAGACTACAACTTTGGGAGAGTCTGACGAATTAGACAGGCTAAAAACGAATCTGAGGGCCTGCCATAATTATACTCCTTTCGCCCTAGATGCGGAAACTCTCGCAACATTTGGTAACTCCCTTCCCAAGTGCTGTGCCTCGCAATGTTAATGTACCTCGTCAAAAGTCCGCACTGAATACTCCGAACTGGACAGGAAACGTTAGGACTACGCCCTGGGGTACAGTCAAATTTGACAAGTGTGTTGACGTAAAAATAACGTAAAAAACAGGAGTGTGCAAAGTTGGACCCGCCCTAAAGATCCAAAGAGATGTCGTTGTAGTCGTTCTGTAGTGAACTCTTTGCTATGTAAGGTCCTTACAGAAACCACGCTTCCCCACATTACATTGATCACACAAATTCCACCCCACTACTCTCCTGACGTGTTACGCTGACATTCGCGGAAAGCTTGGCCTGCCACTTGATTGGTGCGTGCAGTTGTGGAGAAACATGTTGAATCGTCATGATTTGGATTTCGGTATGCTATTTCACCAATCAGCTTCAAATATGCCCCCATCAAGATCTCCAGGCCAGGGTTTGAGGGGCCCAAGCGACATCATGCTGGTGTGGACCAGCCACGCGAAGTAAGACGAAGATCCCAGCCGGAACACCACTTCGACCGCTCCCACCATTCACCGTGCCACAACGATCCCCACCCCATTAGCGAAACCAGCGAAGTGTTGCCACCATTCCACAGCAATTGGTTGGAAGGTCACCCAAGAAAACTACTTTTCCTGCGATTGGCCGTATTCGGATTGCGCTAATTGGGGACCACAGATGCTGCAGATTTTTTTATCGGAGGATCGCGAACAGAGCACGGCCTCCGCACTCAACCAATCACATTGCGCCTGGGCCCAAAATCCCCCCCTCTAGCCTATCCAGTCCTCAGCTCAAACAGCCAGACCCTCACAGTTCAAGAACTCGACTTCAGGAAGCAAATCAACAGAAGTAGCTTCAGCTCAGCAGAAGCAGCAACTCCAAACTCCAGCTTCCAGTATTCACTTAGCGCAGCTTTTTCCGAGGCATCTGTTATCCATCTAAAATGGCTGCTCTCGCGAACGCCGCTGTGCTCCCTTCCACCTTCGTCGGCCAGAGCGCTGAGCTCGCCGCCAAGGTGAACAATGTGGACGCCCGCGTGACGATGAGGAAGACCGCCAAGGCGGCTTCCAGCAGCGCCTTCTACGGCCCCGACCGCAACCTGTTTCTGGGCCCCTTCTCCTCCCCCCCGTCGTACCTCACCGGCGAGTACCCTGGCGACTACGGCTGGGACACGGCGGGTCTGTCCGCTGACCCTGAGACGTTCGCCAAGAACCGCGAGCTGGAGGTGATCCACGCTCGCTGGGCTCTGCTCGGCGCGCTCGGCTGCCTGACTCCCGAGCTCCTCGCCGGCAACGGCGTGAACTTCGGCGAGGCGGTGTGGTTCAAGGCCGGCGCTCAGATCTTCTCCGAAGGCGGCCTTGACTACCTCGGCAACCCCAGCCTGATCCACGCGCAGTCCATCCTGGCCATCTGGGCCACCCAGGTGATTCTGATGGGCGCCGTTGAGAGCTACCGCGTGGGTGGCCTTGAGGGCTTCCAAGAGGTGGAGGACCCCCTGTACCCCGGCGGTGCCTTCGACCCCCTGGGTCTGGCCGACGACCCCGACGCCCTCGCTGAGCTGAAGGTTAAGGAGCTGAAGAATGGCCGTCTCGCTATGGTGTCTATGTTCGGCTTCTTCGTGCAGGCCATCGTCACCGGCAAGGGTCCCCTGGAGAACCTCTCCGACCACCTGGCTGATCCCACCGTGAACAACGCCTGGGCCTACGCCACCAACTTCACCCCCGGCGCTTAGATCTAGTTTCTTAAAACCTGTACATTCCTTCTTTTCATTAATATATTTTCGCACAACCTTACACAATATGTCCATGCCAGTTGCACCTTGTGTCAACGATCTCTCTAATGATGCAAACAGCATTTGGGACAGCGATAATCGCATCCGCTCATAATGATGGGCGTGATGTCCAAGCACAACATATTCATTATTCGCGTCGAGCTTTGCCTCAGGGATTTGTTCATTGAACCCATGAGATTACCAACGGACTGATCATGCTCATACTGTATGCAATGCTCAGTTAATACGTTCCTGTCACATACCATAAAATTACTTATGATGTTTCGTGTACCTGACTTTTGTCGCTCCCAGATCCAGTGCCTGAGTGATGAACTCTAACCACAACCAAAAGGAGTGACAAACGAAAATGCTAGGATGCTGAAAGCTGATTACGAGTGCAGTTCTGCATAGTATTGTACATACTGTTTTTGTCTTTCCGCTAGGTATCTTTAGATGGATTTAGTTACCACCCAGTAGTGAGGAATATGGGAATCTTACCATACATTCAGTGTAAGGAATTCGACAGCTACACATACTTCTCACCCAAGTTACGAGGGAGGTTACCTAACTCAGGGGTATTTTACTGAGTTCCATGACCGAATCTTCCGAGAGAACAAGGGTAGAGCAGTTGAGAGCAGACGGTAACTAGCGCAGTTGAGAGAGTATAACAAGCGCAGTTGAGAACATGTAACTAGCGCAGTTGAGAACATGTAACTAGCGCAGTTGAGAACATGAAACTAGCGCAGTTGACTAACATTTCAGTTGCGCTGTCGGAATCAGAGTGTCCAGCGAACAAGTTCTGTAGGTTGAACAAAAATATATTATCGGAAGAAAAAGGAATGTACAGGTTTTAAGAAACTAGATCTAAGCGCCGGGGGTGAAGTTGGTGGCGTAGGCCCAGGCGTTGTTCACGGTGGGGTCGGCCAGGTGGTCGTTCAGGTTCTCCAGGGGGCCCTTGCCGGTGACGATGGCCTGCACGAAGAAGCCGAACATCGACACCATGGCGAGGCGGCCATTCTTCAGCTCCTTAACCTTCAGCTCAGCGAGGGCGTCGGGGTCGTCGGCCAGACCCAGGGGGTCGAAGGCACCGCCGGGGTACAGGGGGTCCTCCACCTCTTGGAAGCCCTCAAGGCCACCCACGCGGTAGCTCTCAACGGCGCCCATCAGAATCACCTGGGTGGCCCAGATGGCCAGGATTGACTGCGCGTGGATCAGGCTCGGGTTGCCGAGGTAGTCAAGGCCACCCTCGGAGAAGATCTGCGCGCCGGCCTTGAACCACACCGCCTCGCCGAAGTTCACGCCGTTGCCTGCGAGGAGCTCGGGAGTCAGGCAGCCGAGCGCGCCGAGCAGAGCCCAGCGAGCGTGAATCACCTCCAGCTCGCGGTTTTTGGCGAACGTCTCGGGGTCGGCGGACAGACCAGCAGTGTCCCAGCCGTAGTCGCCAGGGTACTCGCCGGTGAGGTACGAAGGGGGGGAGGAGAAGGGGCCCAGGAACAGGTTGCGGTCGGGGCCGTAGAAGGCGCTGCTGGAAGCCGCCTTGGCGGTCTTCCTCATCGTCACGCGGGCGTCCACATTGTTCACCTTGGCGGCGAGCTCCGCGCTCTGGCCGACGAAGGTGGACGGGAGCACAGCGGCGTTCGCGAGAGCAGCCATTTTAAGAGACTGAAGGTGCCTCGAAACAGAAGCTGTGGCTGAAGTATTATTGGGGATGGTGAATAGAGATGTTAGACTGTGATGAGAAACAAGAATGACGTGAGCTTTGTAGGTGTTCTGCCAGTGTTGCTGGTTAGGAGGTGGAGGAAGTTGGATTCGGATAGGGTTGCGGGAGTTGGATGTGTTGGTCTTAGCGGCTTCTGATTGGCTGCCTACGATCGCGAACCGCGTGGCGGAGGAAGCGTTTTTGGCATTCCGAATGGATGCGTTGCGTGGTAACGAAACTCGAGTTCGGCCAATCGCAATGGGTTCGCTCACTTCGTGAAGTACCTTTGTGGTCCGCTGCAAGTGTACCATCTGTGGCTATTGTAAGATTGCGAATCGGCAGCGACGCTTGGCGCAGAATGACTTCCCAGATCGTGGGGATTTTTGTGTACTGGCGAAGGCCTGTTGAGCAATGAGCACACGTTATGCCATCTCAACACGTCACCAACAAATCCAGAGCAGAGAGTTTAGCGGACCAGCATTGAGCCAGTTCTAGTAAGCGAAGAGTTGTGAAACGTCCCTGAGGTGTACAAGGCCACTTAGTATAGAGTCAGCACTCATTTTGATAAATGATTACAGGCCTGCCCTACTCATGGCCTGTGTCTTGGAGAACAAATTCTGTTGCTCCACAGAAAATAAAAAGATGACTGCGCGATATAATGAAATGCAATTTTAGGTGTAGAATAAACAGTGATTGCTGTGGTGGCCAGGCTAGTCTTCATGGACATGTGCTGCTTCTTTCTCGACAGATAGAGCAAATATGTCACAGATGACCTCCAATGGCAAGCCCTTTGTCTCTGGGACCTTGAGGAAAACGAAGAGCCACGAGATCATGCTCATTGTGCAAAAGATGGCAAAGACCCCAGCAAGACCAAATCTTGCTTGAAGTAGAGGAAACGCCTGGCTGACACCAATGTTACACAGCCACATAGCAGCACCACACAGACCAATGCACAAGCCGCGAACAGGGGTGGGAAATATCTCAGAGCAGATGATGTTGGGAATTGGTCCAAGGCCCATTACGAAAGCACAGCAAAATATTGTGACCCCTGCTAGCGAGCAGGCTGATTGCGCCAATCCTGGACCAAGTGAAGTTGACGAAAACACGAGAAGTGCCAAGGATGCTCCAATAACAGGGGTGGTGTATAGAAGAAGTTGCCTGCATAACAAAACATATGGTTTTTGCTGAGCATGATGCAAGTGAGTGAAAAGGCACATATCATCAGCACATCATAGCACATACCTTCGACCCAAAGAATCCATGAGCAACATAGCTGCAAAGATGCAGGGCAGCATAAGGAAAGCTGTAACGCCACTTGCCAACATGGATGACGATTCCGCTGTCAATCCATAATTCTCCAAGATGCTAGCCCCAGAGGACATGAGAATGGTAGGGGTGTAATACAGCACCGCATTGATTCCACACGCCTGTGAACAGGAAATATCAGATCACTTAGGAACAAAGATGATGCAATTTAATGCTGACACCATTTCTTACCTGCTGGAGCACTTGAAGACCAACCCCTACAACAAGGGCTTGCTTCACACCAGGTTCTTTTAGACTGCTAAATCCTCCTTCAGCACCCTCTGATTTTGATGGATGCACCATGGCCGGGCCTTCTGTGTCACCCTCGAGAGGCGCCAATGAATTCTGCTGACTGACAAGCACAGACACCTGAATACCATCATCACTAAGAAGTTGAGTAGAGTCGGACAATGATTGCCCGAAATTTTGCTGCAGGATGTAGACCCTCTTCATCTCATCGTGACTCTGATTGTTTGGCTTTTCATCATCTCCCTCCACCTGACTGGAACCACCCTCAACTTGCCACATCAGCTGCCACCCGCCACCCAGGGACCCTGCTGTAGCTGTGGACGTCTGGTAACTGTTGTTGATGTCTAACGATGTCAACGAGGCCAGTGGTGGAACAGATGAAAAGACAGACTCCAAAACAGAAGACTGTCGCGAAAACTCCACAGAACTGTTGTCGGATGCACACGCAAGAAGTGGCGCTTGCAGGCTCTCAATATCAGAAGGAAGAACCGATTTCTCCTCCCCTGAAGAATTCTGGGATGGCCATGAGGATTGCATATTCTCGTTGTCTGTAATGGCCAGATCACTTGCTCTTTGAATGTTGTCCATCAGTGTAACTAAGTTGTCAACTGGAAGGCTTCCAGATAAGAAAATGGTGGATGAACGCGAGGGAAGAGCAGCTTCTTCATTCTCAGCTGTATCTGCAGCCGGACAAGCCATCCACTCACAACTCGAGTCCGGCCCAATCAACTTGACGGGTGCGATTGAATCGTGGTTTTTGTTTATATAATCTTCATCCACGGGCTTAATGACCCACTCCTCCAAAGAGATGTCACGGGAAAGTCCGAGGCCCTCGACTAATACAGCCAGCTCACCTGGCGAAAAACGTGTAAGATGAAGCTGATCACTCATATGTGTGAGCATTAGCAAGTTAGTAAGGGCTCAGCTTACCCGAAACATCTTGAGAACCGCGAAGGTACTGCAGAACAAGTCGTGCTTCTGCCATTCGACCCTTGCTGACAAGCCATCTAGGTGACTCGGGAAGCACAAGAAATAGTGCTAGAATGTAGAGGAGCGACGGTCCACATCTGAAATCAGGTGACGGATTTCAGCCACAGACGGAATGAGAACAAAACGAGATGAGAAAACAAGTGAGATTTCTTACTCGATTCCAAGGATGAGTCTCCAATCCGTGTGTGGGGATAAGGAAAGGACAAATGACACTGCATACGAAATGACCATAGCTCCAATTCCCATCAGCTGAGGAAGCGAGGCCAGCTGGCCACGGATTTCGGGTGGTGAGCATTCTGATATAAAGATTGGAGCGACTGTGGCAAAGAATCCAATGCTGAGTCCGACTAGGCTTCTGCCTGCGACAAGGTACTCCACGCTAGGGGACCACCCGCTGATTGCAGCTCCTGAAACAAAGCACCTTATTGAATATCGGTGCTGTATTCAAGCATATCACTATCCAAAAGAGTCGCATCTTACCTGAAAAAAACGTGAAAGCCGCAATCATAAGGACAGATTTTCTGCCGATCAAGTCCGCAAAACTTCCAGCGATTAGAGTACTGAGTACGGAACCTGCGTTTATTCTCAAATTGTCAGAATCAGGACAACTACAAGAACGTGGGATTCATCAGAGTTACAAACCCAGCAAAGATGCAGTCACGATCAATCCGACCGCAGTTGGAGACAGATGGAAATCAGGCACCACGTAGAGGAGCGACCCTAAGAAATAGAGGTCCAAGTCATTCACGATGGCCAGGTGTTCCAAATAATGACAAAATAAAAGCTTCACGCACCTGCTATCGCGGCATTGTCCCATCCTTGGAGCCCATTACCAAGAGCAGCACAAATTGCCACGATCACGGCTCCAGATATCATTGCCCTAGACTTCTAATCAGCCTTGCAAGCGTGAAAACTTCGAACGGAATGATGCCGCTGTAGGCAAAATCATCACCTTTCAGGAATTCTTCAGAATTCTGGTCTGAGTAATTGAGGGCGCGTCCCCTCCCTCGATCGATCGCGCGATCGCTGTGAAAAACCGATCGGGCACACCGATCGCAGGATTGGGATGGGATTGGTGGGAGGTGACAGCAGCGGATCGATCTCGATCCCTGAGTGACAGGTTCGAGAATACAAGGGGCAAAAAACCCTCGATCCTTCTAAAGCCGAGATCGGTGTGGCCACGAGGGCACATCGATCGTCATAGCAGAGGTGACAAGATCGTTAGGCACAAGCTACTGTAGATTCGCAAGCCCTCTCGAAATCTGGTTACCTTGTCAATCGTGCAACTGTAGCTGTTCTCGATCGATCGAGGGCAGGATCGATCGAGGGAGGGGACGCGCCCTCATGTTGTCCTGCATTTGAGCTACATCATTCTAATATCGAGGATGCTTCGATTCAGTGCAAGATGCTTCAGCTGCGAAACATTGTACAGTTGATTACGCGAATTGCAGCCAGCACTCTCAACAAACTGGGATGATTAAATCAACTTGTACAGTAACATGAATTCCACTTATAACAATCGATCGACATCTATTACATGGTAATTGGTATTAATCATCTTCTGGTAGTACGTTGTGTAAGAAGGAAGATGTAGCATGCAATGCGGAAAGTCATTGCAAAGCCCAATAGCACAAGTAGGTCAAGCCACTTAGATTGCCCAGACAAGCCTGCCGCCTCAATAATCTGAGAGGACAACAGGGGAAGGATCAGGAAAACAAAATGAGCACTACTGTTACATACATACAGAGCAAATTGTGAGGTCAGATGTAAGAACCAGAGCAACAAGCATGGCCATTGATGATTGACATCACTCACCTGTGATCCTGTGCCTGCAAGCCCGAAGGTGGTGTCACTATGGCTCCCGTACTCGTTAATTATGAGAGCATCCAAGGGGTACTTGAAGACTGACAGGTAGTGCATCCAGATCCAGTATGAAGGGATGTACTGTAGGGGATAGTGTGAAAGGGACGGGACAATAAGGGTGTGACAGTAATGCTAAGGTGCACGCTTGAAGGTGGTATCGCTATGGCTCCTTTACTCGTTGAGCATCCAAGGGGTACTTGAAGACTGACAGATAGTGCATCCAGATCCAGTACGAGAGGACGTACTGTTGGGGAGACAAAAAAAAAGAGAATGCAGCAAATGGATGTAGCGGTCTGGTGTTATAAAAGTAAAGCATAGCGGATAATGTGAGCCCTCCCATTTCCAGGACACGTGCATGCAAGTGTCGGTGTCCAGCAATGATCACAGCATGAGTGCAGTGGAAGAAATTGAATAATTGGGAAAATTCTGTAATTTCCCATATTTCAATGCCTTAGCCACTTACCTTCTTGGCAATGAAGTAGCCTGAGAAGAGGAAGAATGCCCCCATGAGGCCAGCAATCATGGAGTTAGCTGTGATAAAGTCAGGTGCCATGGCCCTGAGACAAGGGAACAACCCACATGCACAGGAGGCAACACACATAACAGGAAGCATATAAACAATCAGGGATACAGGGGTGAAGAAAGAAGCCCCCCATGAGGCCAGCGATCAGGGAGTTAGCTGTATTGAAATTAAGCACCATCGCACTGACACAAGGGAACAACCACATGAGGAGTTACGCGAAACTCGCATGCATCAAGAGGCGCTTGATGAAATACTCACAAGGGAACAATCACATGGATTACGCGAGGAAATACTTACGCGATGCAGGCAACGATTGCATGGGCTAAGATCAGCACGGCCCAGACGAGGAGGAAGAAGAGGAAGGCGGAGAGGGAGGCGTGCAGGCCGACTAGGAGGAGGACAAAGGGAGAGACCACGAGGATAGAGAGGGGTTGGGTATGGTTTCTGAGGGACTTACGCGATGCATGCGACGATGGCATTGGCGACGATCAGCACCGCCCAGACGACCAGGAGGAAGAAGAGGAATGCGGAGAGGGAGGCGTGCAGGCCGACAAGGAGGTAGGCTGGGATGGAGTAGAGGAGGGCGAGGAGCAGGAGAAATGGCAGAAACACCGCCACACTGCGAGGGAGTGAAGTGAGAGTTGGTTGGGGGGAGAGAGGGGGAGAAAGGGACGGGGGGAAGGATGGAGGGCGGATTTTTTCACTGGCATTGTCCATGTGAGGTCACTGAAGCAGCTACCCATGGCAAAACCGATGGGTACACAAAAATAAGCGCTGCGTATAGCGAAACAACTTTCTATATAGAAATTGCTGCTTATAGCAAAACAAACTGCGTGTAGCGAAACAGCTGAAATATGGCATATCACTAACCTAGCGATGGCATACGAGGATATGCGGTAAGCGCCTCTTGACGTTTCTCGGAGAAAGATTTGCCTCTCCTGTAGATGTAGGGATATTGACAAGAGATAAGAAAGTTTGCTTCAAATTTGTATGGTGTGTTGGGATGAAAGAAAAAGGCCTTGACATAAATGCCCTGACACCCTAAACCCTTAACCCTTAAAAAAAAGGCATGACGGTAAGTGTGGCCATGGAGTCATGGCAGGTATGTGAGGAGCACTTGCCTCAAGAAACACAGGCAGGGCTTCGACAGACGAGGTGAGCAGGAAGGCGAGAGAGAAGGCAAAGAATCCCATGCGTTCCTGAGGAGAGGGAAGGGGGGCAATGGGGAGAATGGGGTGGAGAGGAAGAGTGGCGGGATGAAGACATAGGGCTTCAACGGACGAGGTGAGCAGGAACGCGAGAGAGAAGGCAAAGAATCCCATGCGTTCCTGAAGAAAGCAGAGAATGGAGAGAATGGAGAGAATGGGGAGAATGGGGAGAATGGGGAGAATGAGGAAAATGAAGAGGATGGGGAAGGAGGATGTTTTCCCCATTCTCCCCAGTCTCCCCATTCTACCCATGCGCCCCATGCGCCCCATTCTCCCCATTCCTGTATTCCGTCCGTCCCCACGTCTATCCCCTGAGGGTTGGACGGCAGGTGAAGAAAGGGAGTCCTCAAGCAGAAAGCAGTGAAGTCAACCTGAGAGGCCCTTTGCTTTCAACTGTTTTTACCTCTCTCCCCAGTTTCCAATTTCCCACAAGCTCCTCACCGCCACTCTCAACCCCTCCTCACCCTCGCCTCACCTCTATCCCCTGGGGGTTGGACGGCAGGCGAAGAAACAGCGTTCCCAGGCAGAGAGCAGTGAAGGCGATCTGAGACAGAACTTGCTTGCATCTGGTTTTGTTAAAGAATCCCCACCCCTCCCTCACCTCTATTCCCTGAGGGTTGGACGGCAGGCGAAGGAAGACTGTTCCCAAGCAGAGAGCAGTGAAGGCGACCTGAGACGTCCTACCTTCCCTGTTCCCCCTTCCCCATACTCCCCAACCCCATCCCCTCCTCACCTCTATCCCCTGAGGGTTGGACGGCATGCGAAGGAAGAGAGTCCCCAAGCAGAGGGCAGTGAAGGCGACCTGAGACGCCCTCCCTCTTCCTATTCATGCTCTTGCAATCTCTTGCAAGTAACCCATCCCCTCCTCACCTCTATCCCCTGAGGGTTGGACGGCAGGCGAAGGAAGAGAGTCCCCAAGCAGAGGGCAGTGAAGGCGACCTGAGACGCCCTCCCTAGACACAGCTCTGGGGTCCTGGCCATGTTCTGAAGGAGGGGTTGGTATGGGGAGAAATTATGAGCTACTGGAGACGGAAATCAAGAGCTGGAGTTGAGACGTGATAACAAGCAGTGAAGGCGACCTGAGACGCGCTACCCAGACGTAGCTCTGGGGTCCTGGCCATGTTCTGAGAGCGCACAAGGGAATAGAGAGCAAAAGGATGGTGAAGGAAGGAGAAGTACTATTTTCCATGCTACCACTCCCACATGGGACGGCAGGGAAGAGAACGAGATGGGTTGGGAAAGAAGGAACGTACCTTGAAGTTGCGGCAGCTGAGCCACCAGATCTCGTGCAGGGGCGATGTGGCATACTGGGGCAGAAGGGAACCAGGTTCACTCCCCGTATGGCTGCTCTCGCTTCCGCTGATGCTGCTGCTGCTGTCACTGTCACTTCCGCTGCCACTGCTGTTGCCGCGGATCGAGATCGGAACATCTTGGAATGGTGAGGATGGAGGCGAGGAGGACGGAGTGGGTGATGAGGAAAGCGGAAGCTCGTGAAAAGCATGGCCTTTGGTAAGAGTATCAACACCCGTTTCACCCTCAGCACCAGGAGCAGCAGCGCCAGCAGCAGCAGCAGCGACAGCGGCACCAGTACCGGACTCGCCATGGAAATACACGTTCCCAGCTGCTGCTGCTGAATGCTGCTGCTGCTGAAGGAGCTTCCACAGCCCACTGCCACTTGACTGCTGGGAAGTGGAAGCAGGGGAGGCACAGTGAACAAGAGTAAAGAGAAAAGGCTGATGGGCTGATTTTCTAGTAGAGGCTCCACAGCACCCTGCCGATTGACTGTTGATGGAAGTGGTAGTGGAGCCAACAGTCAACCAGCAGAGTGCCTGCAGAGTGGACAAAATTCAGTCCTCTGTTGCCCCAAGGCAACGAGTGAGAGCTTGAACTCGAGAAAGAACTGTACAGCCCTCTCTCGTTGCATGGGGGCTGTGCAGCCCCCATGCGGATCAACTTTGCAACTTTGCCCCCATGCCCTCCATAGCAGATCCAAGTGCCTTGACCCCATGCGAGTCAACTTTGCCCCCATGCCCTCCATAGCAGATCCAAGTGCGTTGACCCCATGCGAGTCAACTTTGCCCCCATGCCCTCCATAGCAGATCCAAGTGCGTTGACCCCATGCGAGTCAACTTTGCCCCCATGCCCTCCATAGCAGATCCAAGTGCGTTGACCCGCATGGGCACAGTACAGCCAGCAGCAGCAAGGCGGGCCTCGAGCAAAGAGAAAGGAGCAACGCAAGGAGACTCTTCAAATTAACTCAAGAGTCTGATGACAACAGAAAGAAGGAGAACAGAGGGTAAGAATCGAACTTACCCCCATGCCTTCCATGGCGTATTCGAGAGCGTTGACTCGCATGGGTACGGTGCAGCCAGCAGCAGCGAGGCGAGCGGGCCGCAGTGAACCACAGACAGTTGATCCAAGTGAACCCCAGACAGTTGATCCAAGTGAACCCCAGGGGAACAGAAAGGAGAGAGTGACGAGGCAACTCACCCCCATGCCTTCCATGGCATATTCGAGAGCGTTGACTCGCATGGGTACGGTGCAGCCAGCAGCAGCGAGGCGGGCCTCGAGCAAGGAGAGAGGGCCGCAGTGAACCACAGATCCTCGGGAGAGCAGCAGGAGGGAGTCGATGAGCTCTAGCATGCGGAAGCTGGGCTGAGGGGGGGAAGCAGTTAGGGATGGGAGCAGGTGGGGGAAAGAACAGAGCGACTGAGAGTGGTGGGGGGAGAGCAGCAGGAGGGAGTCGATGAGCTCAAACATGCGGAAGCTGGGCTGCGAGGAGGCGTATGGGAGGGGGGAGAAGGTGGGAAGAGTGGGAACGTGCTTTCTGTTTAAGCAGGTCGAGCAGGGAGAGAGGGCCGCAGTGAACCACGGAGCCCCGAGAGAGCAGGAGTCGATTAGCTCTCTCATGCGGAAGCTGGGCTGCGAGGGTTGTAAGGGTGGGGATAGAGTGTGGGTGTGGGGGAACGGGGGGGGTGGGGATAGAGTGTGGGTGTGGGGGAACGGGGGGGGTGGGGATAGAGTGTGGGGGAACGGGGGGGGTGGGGATAGAGTGTGGGGGAACGGGGGGGGTGGGGATAGAGTGTGGGGGAACGGGGGGGGTGGGATAGAGTGTGGGGGAACGGGGGGGGTGGGGATAGAGTGTGGGGGAACGGGGGGGGTGGGGATAGAGTGTGGGGGAACGGGGGGGGTGGGGATAGAGTGTGGGGGAACGGGGGGGGTGGGGATAGAGTGTGGGGGAACGGGGGGGGTGGGGATAGAGTGTGGGGGAACGGGGGGGGTGGGGAAGGGAACCAGCTTCGAGCAGGGACAGAGGGAGAGCAGCAGGAGGGAGTCGATGAGCTCAAGCATGCGGAAGCTGGGCTGCGAAGGGGGGAGAAGGAGGGGAAGGGGAAGGGAGGGGGGTGTTGAAGGGCTGTTCGTTCATTGGGTCGAGCAGAGAGAGAGGGCTGCAGTGAACCACGGAGCCCCTTGAGAGCAGCAGGAGGGAGTCGATGAGCTCGAGCATGCAGAAGCTGGGCTGAGGGGGGGAATAGGGGCTGGGGAAGAGTGTGGGGGAACAAAGGGAAACAGGGGTAAGGGGGCAACAGAGGGGTGGATAGTGGTAGTGAAGAGTAGCAGGAGTGAGTTTATGAGCTCAAGCATGCGGAAGCTGGGCTGCGAGGGGGAGTAGAGGGGTGTGGGAGGGAGAAGGGTGGGGAAGGAAGAGGGTGAGAACGAGGGAAAAGGGGACAAGCCGGTAGGAGTCCACAGTAGCAGCAGCAGCAGCATTGAGAGCCTACTTGTGGGTTAGTCCAGAAGCCTGACTCGGCCCCTCCCTGCTCTACTCTCCCACTCGCCTCACCTGGTGTAAGGAAAGCACGACCGTCCTTCCCCCCTCCTTGGCCATGCCTCTCAGCACGCCCAGCACGTTGGCAGCAGCAGCGCTGTCCAGCCCACTGGTGGGTTCATCCAGCAACAGCCAGTCACTCAGTCCCCCTCTTGCCTCTCCTTCCCTTACTCAGCCCCTGTCACACCTCTCACTCCTATTCGCATTCCCCTTCTCACTCCCCTGCTCTTACCTGGTGTATCGACAGCACCACAGTCCGCCCTCCCTCCCTGGCGATGCCCCTGAGCACGCCCAGCACGTTGGCAGCAGCAGCACTGTCCAGCCCACTGGTGGGTTCATCCAGCAGCACCACTCATTCACCCTCTTGTCTCCACCTTCCCAGCACCACTCCCCTGCTCTTACCTGGTGTATCGACAGCACCACAGTCCGCCCTCCCTCCTTGGCCATGCCTCTCAGCACGCCCAGCACGTTGGCAGCAGCAGCACTGTCCAGCCCACTGGTGGGTTCATCCAGCAGCACCACTGCTGGGTTGTGGACCAAATCCATTCCTATGGACAAACGTCGTCGCTCCCCTCCTGATAACCCCCTCCCCCTGCTGCTGCTGGCACTTGTGCTGCCGATGCGTGTGTGGGCGACAGCCTGGGCCAGGGAAAGGGGGAGGAGTGGGGGGGAGGAATGGGGGTAAGACAAAAGAACGGGAAAAAACAGGGAGGAAATGGAGTTGCTGTTGTGGGTGCAGTCCACTGGTGGGTTCATCCAGCAGCAACACTGCCGGGTTGTGTACTAAATCCATGCCTATGGACACACGTCGTTGCTCCCCTCCTGACAGCCCCCTCCCCCTGCTGCGGCCGGCACTCGTACTGCCGATTCTGGACAGCCTGGGGTGGGCAGGGGTAGGGAGAGAGCAGGGAGAGAGGGATGGGGGTAAGAGTTACTGGGAGGAAGTGGGGCTTTTGTGGGTGCAGCCCACTGGTGGGTTTATCCAGCAACACCACTGCTCGCCTCTTCTCTCCTCCAGACAACCCTCTCCCCCTGCTGCTGCATGTGCTGGTCGCCCCAATTCTGGTGTGGGCGACAGCTTGGGGTGGGGGGAGGGAGAGAAGGGCGGGGTGGGGGCAAGAGAAAGGAGATTTCTGAAAATTCTCCCAAATCGCTCGCAAGGTATCTAGGAGTGATGCTCCCTCTGAAACACCTGGATTACCGCGAATCGAAACATGTGCACGGCTGTGCGGACGGACGGCTACACTACAGCCCAAGTACCTGGAGGCCGAGGGTGGTGAGAAGGGCGACCACGCGGGAGAGCTTTGTCCGCGATGGGCAGGGTGGAGGGCAGGAAGAGGTGGGCAGAGAGAGGAGCGACTGACTGGCTCTGACACACCTATTACCACGAGCATCCCAGTTACTCGTGCGGGTATGGTACGCCTTACCTGCAGGCCGAGGGTGGTGAGAAGGGCGACCACGCGGGCGAGCTTTGTCCGCGACGGGCAGGGTGGAGGGCAGGCAGAGGTGGGCCGAGAAGAGGAGCGACTCGCTCTGAGGCCCAGCAACCAAGCCATGAGCAGCACACTTACATGTGCCAGCGGCAAGCCATATGCGTGCAGAGCAGTGATCAGCCCAGTTACCTGTGGACCAAGAGTCGCAAGAAGAGCGTCCACACGAGCAAGCTTTTGAGGCGATTCAAAAATCACCTTGTTACATTGAGTCAACTCAAAAGTCGCAGTGATCAGCCCCGTTACCTGTAGACCAAGAGTGGCGAGAAGAGCGTCCACACGAGCAACCTTGTCAGCGAGCGGCAGGGAGGAGGGCAGGCGGAGATGAGCCGAGAAGAGCAGCGACTCGCGTGGGGTGAGGTGTGGGAAGAGTGCATCGTCTTGCTGCACGTAGCCTGGGTGGTAGAGAGGATTGAGGGATTGAAGGAAGAAGGGGGGAAAGGAGGAAATCGAAGGGGGAGTGGGCAAGGTTATGCGTGTCTCAGTTTACTGAAAAAAGTGAGGGAAGAGTGCATCATCCTGCTGCACGTAGGCTGGGTGGTGCGGAAGGATTCAGCACTGTTTCGCAACTGGAACACCCACCTGAGATTCACCTGAGCTCGCCTGCGCTCATGCGCTGCCCGTTCACCAGGATGCTTCCTCTCAGCCTGCCGCCACCACAGACACTTTAACCTCGCAAAGAGAGCACCCAGGGAAGCTGAACCATCTGAGATTCGCCTGAGTTCGCCTGCCCTCATCCGTTGCTCGTTCACCAGGATGCTTCCTCTCAGCCTGCCGCCACCAGAAACAGTCCACCTTCCAGCAGTGCCCAGAGAAAGTAACTCACCTGAGATTCTTCTGAGTTCGCCTGCGCTCATCCTCTGCCCGTTCACCATGATGCTTCCTCGAAGTCTCCCCCCTTAAATCCGCCCGCCAATGCAGTCCAGCAGCGTTGACTTGCCCGCCCCACTCGGCCCCGCCACTGCCACCACCTGTCCTGGCCTCCGCCATCCCGACTGCCTTCTCCAACCCTCACACTCACCTCACCAGAAGCCACTCTCCCTACTCTCGGCATTCCAGACTCTCTGCTCTCTGCGTTCCAGACCCATTCGCCATGACTCAGAAAGGGAGCTCACCTGAGATTCGCCTGAGTTCGCCTGCGCTCATCGTCTGCCCGTTCACCAGGATGCTTCCTCGCAGCCGGCCGCCCTGAATCCGCCCTCCGATGCAATCCAGCAGCGTTGACTTGCCCGCCCCACTCGGACCCGCCACTGCCACCACCTGCCCTGGCCTCGCCACTGCACTCACGCCCACCAGCAGTGGGAGGAAATCCGCAGGCGCGTGTGGAGCAGCATGTGGCGCGTGTGGCGCATCAGCGCCAGCAGCAGGAGAGTGCAGAGCAGCAGCACCAGCTTCAGCTGGAGGTTGCAGAGCAGCAGTAGGAGCAGCATCAGCAACATCAGCAGTGGCAGTCTTAGTAGCAGCTGGTATGAACGGCACCCACTTGGAGAGTGACTGGGTGATATAATCGAGGGAGGAGGACGCAGGTGCGGGGATGGAGTAGGAGAGGTTGTCGATCGAAATAGTGTAACACGTGCTGGTGGTAACCATACTCTGTTCATGGGAGTCCCACGTCTTGCTTGGGATAGCCTTCTTTGGCCCTCCTCCTATGCTGCTGCTGCTCTTGCTGCTGCTGCTGGTGCTCGTGCTCGTGCTCGTGCCAGTGGCATCAGAACCGCCTGTATCGCTCGAAACGCTCTCTGTGCTCTTGTTGCTGCTGCTCCTGTGCTGCTCTGATAACCCTCCGATTTGAATCTCGTTCTCAAGATCCCCACCACCAAAGCCAACACCAACACTGCCAGCACCATATTCAGGGAGCGGCAAAAACAATCCCCCTTTCCATGCGCTTGCTTCGCACACCAAGAAGCGCTCTCCAGGAGCAAAAGAGATACTCCCAGGCTCAGTGGCCTGACATCCATGCCTTGCAGATTGGCCGCCGGGCTGATAGTGGTGACCACTATAACGAGTATGACTGGCACTGCTGCTCCCGGCCTCGGCCTTTCTCAGAGCCAACTGCCTTCCCTTATCTGTCCCTCCTCTGTCACATAAGAGGGAATTCGAACCATCAAACGAGCCTCTTGGAGGGTTGTTCACTGCTGACGCAGCAGACGCCCGGGTCCTCGCTTTCCTTAGGGCCTCCACATCAAGCGCGCACACTGATGACATGGCACCGTGTCAGCGCTGATATGAGGAGTAGCTGACGTCGGAGGATGCACCGACCGTAATGAGCCAGTCCCACCCGACTGGCGGTTTTCACGTTTTGAGACGTCTGAAAATTCGAGGATTCGAACGAGCGTGGTGTGCGAGTAGCGATTGGCTGACTTTACCCTCAACAGATGGTTAGGTGGGTGTCGACGGTGCGACTACAATCAACCAGTGAGGGGAGAGTCGAGCACAGCTGCTGCATTTCAAGCCCACAGCAACTTTCTATTCGCTGAACAAGGAAGCGTGCAAAATACACCTCGGTAGAGAGATCGGCGTGCCTGTCAACAATGAATGTTGAGAGCATGGGTTCTGCTCTTATGACGAAGTAAGGACGCAAAGTGAATGAGTTTCTCTGGCTCTTATTCAGTTCTCAGGAGCGACGCTCCGGGGTGTGCGACGAGTACGCTCTGAGCTGGCGACTACCCCGTGCGACACAAACTGAAAACGACGACGACGTCGTCTGCGACCTGTAATCGGCAATGGCACGCGATAACGACGGGAACGAGGCTGGGGAAAGAGCTGCGAGTGTTTAATCAGGAATAGCTGTAAGGGAGAAGAGCCATTGCGACTATTATCGATTCGCTGGCACGGACCGATTGGTTGCGAAGCCATTGTGATAACGACGGACGTGATTAGCTCAGTTGGAAAAGTGCAATCCGTGTGGAGGGAGATTGAAATCGCAGGCTGTGTGAGAGCGAATGCGACGACGAGCAGTCACGAGCCGTCAACTGCACGGCGACGAACGATCAGCATGCGACGCAATCGCAATCGCACGTGTCAATCGCCGGCGACAACCGCAGGCCAGTGTAGCGAACCCGAGAACCGCCGACCAGCACGAATGAAGAAATCAACGAAACGAGAAGAGCGGTCAAAAGGAAACGATTAGTGGTCAGCGACTCAGCGGTCACTGATCAGGACTAGAAAATGACCTGTGACGGCAGGGCGTGACAAGCAAGGCCTTGTATCTAGCGAAGGAATCTGGCAAAAAGTGAGCTCGATTTCAGTCTACTGCTTACGGAAAGATCCAGTCAATTCTCAAGTAGAGGGAGATGGCGACATTCCCTAGGCGATTCACGCTGATGGCGACGATTTCAAGGCAGTACGAAAGTTAGCTGATGTCCACATTTTCACCGTACTGCATCGTACTGTAACTCTCTGCAACATACTGCGTTTTGCATCCCCGCAGTGTTCGCATTTCGGGTTGCCAGGGACCACTCCTCGTTACAGTGTCGTCGTCTTCAACGTAAAGGTGATTTCGGGATCTGAATTTCGGTAATGGGGGCGATGACTGCTTTTACTAGAACCTCATCGCCATACTAGAACAACCATGTTGAGATACTACAAGTCTATTACTTATTCAAGTTAATGATAAAAACATCTCCAATCTCCAATGTTAGCATCTGAGAGGGAGCATCCTCCGCTAATGAGCGGAGAGTACATTGTGCATCAGAGACTGTTGAATTATGCTAAGCCAACGGACATTTACGGTAAGAGGAAATGCTTGATTTCGATTGACATTTATATAAACAGATTGGCTTTACAACAGGTCCAGCAGTACATGGTACAGCAGTCTCAGCCATTCATCTGGCGGACCAGGCAGGCAATAATGCAGGCAATCCCGGGGGGGTTCTTGATGCCCATCTGGTCTCCCAGCAGTCATGGGTACAATATCCATAAACACCCCTCCCACACCCTCCACCAACTTTCTCGCCTCCTCATTCTGCTCCGCAAAATCGCCCCAATGATAGGGCATTGCCGAAGGATCCGATATTCCAATCGACGGAGCCGAATCTCGCGTACAGTTTTTATGTCCCGTGGCAGTGCTTCTGTAGATTATAAGAAGGTTGGGTGCAGCTGCTCTTACTGTAGTTAACGTATGATTAAGCTCGGCAATAAAAAAGGGTGTTTCCACCCAATGGGCCCCTCGGTTGAGCACAAGAACCGATATGGGAGGAAAGGGGTCATCGTTGGGAAATGATGCTGTGAGCTTCCTGAAATGCCGTTGGAAATACTGCCAATACGTGTCTTCCTGCCCAGTTTTGCTGGTAGCCAGATCTTTATTCGCAGAAGCTTGTGCGGTTGCAGAAAACGGCCACTTCACCTGCCTCCTCTGTGTCACCTGCATTTTCAGCCTCTTCTGCTGCTCCAACCACTCCATCTTTTCTCTCTGTTCCTGTCGCTCCTCCTGCTGCAGCATCCTCCTCTCCTGCTGTCGTCTTCTCTTCTCCTCCTCCCTTCTCTTCTTCTCCTGCTCCTTCCTTCGCTTCTCCCTCACCGCCTCCCCCTTCACAATCACATCAAGCCACGGCACAGAAATCCGTTTTGGGAGTTTCACATACAGGTGTAAGTCAGTGCTAATCACATCGTCCCGCACGAACATGAACTTGGTTCGACCCAGCGCAACCCCGGTGCACAGAAGCAGGTATGGCCGCTGCTGCAGAAGCCTGTTCTTGGTGCGGCTCTTGCAGAAAGCAGGAGTGAAATCGACTTGTTCGAGTGATTCTCCCTCTGCTTTACGGCTGTCCTGCTGCTCCCCTTGCTGCACACTACGGGGCATCGATGCCTGCCTGAAACGATTCTTTAGTGACTTGAACAGCATTGCGTTTATCGAATCCCCCACTATAAACACAGTCAACCCCTCCAGTTTCTCCGCCAGTTTCCCCTTGTCTACCTCCCCCCACTCTCCACACCTCTCCTCAGGAACCCACTTATACTTCAAAGTGTCCCGCACCTTCCATTCCTCTGCCGAACCTCCTGCCAAAGCTATCTCATCTGCTTCCCTAAAGGCGACGTTCTTGTAACGGGAATTGTTCTGCTCTGGCTGGATCCTCCACCTATCATCACACTCCCAGCCCGCACTGACCGCGTGAGGTTGAGACCAGGGGAGGGTGCGGGGGGTAGGGTCCAGCTGCCACGTGGCGTTCGTTGATAGGCACGCGAGGCGGGACTGAAACGCGAGGAGCTGATTGGCTGAGGTGAAGCGGGAACCGGGGATGGTTGGAACGGGGGGAAGAGGGGCCGCTGGAGGATCCGCGATTGGGAGACTCAGATCAGGCTTCTCATGAGATTGCGGCGAATTTTTAGGGTCGGTAACGATGGTTGAGATTAAATCTTCTGGAGATACTACTAGCACCTGAGGCTTGCTGCTGCTGGTAGTAGTATTGAAATCTTGCGGCATTGCCTGAGAGCTGATGCTAGGAGCAGGGAGGCTGCTGGTACTAGGAGCAGGGATGCTGATGCTAGGGTTAGCGGTGATAATGCTAGGGGCAGGGATGTTGCTAATAGGGGCAGCCGTGCTGATGCTTGGGGCTGTTGTGGTGCTGCTGGCGTCAGGTGATACTGGAATTGACTCGAGAAACGAATCATGCGAAGCTGCGGGTGCAGACGCGGTAACCACAGGGGTGCTGGTAACCATAGGCGTGGGAACCGCAGCTGAAGGATCCAGCGGCCAGGACTGGGGAAAGGCGTCCGAGAAAAGTCCATAATAAATCAGAAGCAGAGAGAGGAAGACGACGGCCGGTAGCAGCAGCGGACGGTATACGTTGTTACTGCCCGAGCCTTGAGCAGCCATTGCAATCGATCTGGCAGGATTCGGTGCGGTTCCCGTATGTAGATCTAGCTTAAGACCATATTACCATAACATGTTTCCGGATAATACGGCTGAAATGCCAATTCCGCCTCGTTAGTACTGAATCAATATCTGACGCTTCGTTGCCTAGCGAATCTGGCTATTTCGGCTAATTAGCAACAGATTGAAGAAAATTCTGGGTCTGATTCGAGGCCGACGATGACCATCATTGAAGTCCGTTCGAAAACAGAGATAATGAGAGCAAAAAGGCCTCGTACACGCTCAAATTATCCCCTAGAGTCTAGATTGATGGCATAACGAGGGTGGGTAAGCAGTTAGTAGAGCGAAACTGCACATCAGTTTCTTCGGAAAACGTACGGCAACATCAGTGCCTGCACGGATCACGAACGAGGACAACTGCTGTTGGGTATTTTGCATCTTGTTTGCACAACGAAGGGACGATCAAACCGAAGGATGACATCACACCACTGGCAGGCCACCGTGTAACCATCACACGCGAATCTTCGAGGTGACGACCCTTGAAGCAGTTCGTCTGCTTTACCAGTTTGAAACGTGAATTAACGCTTCGTAAACATTTATTACATGAACTGTGAACTGGGACCTCCCATGAGGCGCTTTCGCCAAACACTACCGGCGGTGTTCGCCAGCACCTTTGAGATTGGAAGAAAATGGAAGGCATTGGACTGGCAACGGCATCAGGAAGCGGGGTCGGAACCCTCCGAAAAGGTTTGGGCGAAATGCCACCCGCGAACTTTCC